GAACTCGCCACCCCGATCAGTGCGCAGCGCCTGCACCGTGGTCTTGCACTGTCGCTCTGCCATCGGGAGCCACTTCTGGAACGCCGCCAGCGCATCACTCTTCTGGGCCAAAGGGTAGGCCCAGACATATCGCGTCTTGCGATCCTTCAGCACCAAGAAGTAGCGGCTGCCGTCCTTAGCTGCTTCACGGAAAGGGCCACACAGGTCAGCATGCACCACCCCGAGCAACTCATCCTCCTCCTCTCCTACAGAAGGAAAGGTATGACGAGTGATCTTTCCCCCAACACAGGAGACACAAGGTATGCCTGACTTGCCCCCCTTTTCCAAATCCAAGCCCGTCACTGACCCGTGAGCCGCTGTGCGCTCGATGGCATCAATACCAACGTGTGCCATACGCGCATGCCACAGGTCCCCCTTAGACCGTACGCCCGTCGCCAAGGTACGAAGTGCCACCGTTTCGCCTTCCTGCTGCTGCGTCGAACACGGCTGGAAGTTCGTGCAGAGAACACGCCCCTTGAACTCCGCACGACCAAGGAGCGATCCATCTGGTGCCCGCAGCAAAGTCACATCCCCGGCATCCAGCAGCTGCACACCACTATCACGCAGCTGCCCAGCAGAGAGAAGACTCGCCTGCACTCCTGGTACGTACAGCACGTCCGGCACCAAGACACGCCTGCCCCCCTCCCCAAGAAGAGCGACTGTGCCTCGCCCCTGCACCTCCTGAAGGGCGCCGTTGAAGCCGGTAACCTGCTTAATGCTGCCGCCGCTGCTCATCTCCACAAAGGCAGAACGATCTCCCATGAGATGGTGGGAGCATCCGCTATCAAGCAGCACGACGCTCGGGTTCGCCTTCACAGCAGCTGCAACAGCCTGTAAGCCCTCCCCGGCCTCAGGCTCTAGCACAACGAGAGGAGTCTGCTCCACAACTGGCTTCACCATCGCACATGATGACTGCCCGCTCCCCTTAGAGCCATCACCCCCCTTTCCGCTGCTACCTCCAGAACCCTCTCCACCGGTGTCTGCCTCCTTATCCGCCCGCTGCTGACAGTACTTAGCAGCATGCCCTATTTGTCCACACACATAGCACTTCCCCTTGAAGCCCCCTTTCCCCCCCTTCGGCTGGCCATCCTTACCCCCTTTCCACTTCTCCCCTCCCCCACCAAGCCCACCCCCATTCTTAGGCTGCTGCTGCTGTGCCGTAGTGGGAGGGGAAGGGAATGAAGTCTGCTGGAATTGGGGCTTACCCTTCTTGGTAAAGACCTGGTTAGCCTGGGGAAGAAATTGGTCCTTTCGTCCCTCTGCCGCCAGCGTACACTCCTCCTCGATGATGTAGCTAGCGAGGGTGTCCTCGTCCAACTCCTTGCGAACCTGCGGCAACTTCAGCATCCTGCGTAAGAGGTTGTACTGCTGCGGCAACCCCTTCACAACGTGAGTGATGTACGACGCCTGCGAGTAATCTACGCCGGCCATCCTCAGGTTCACTAGGATCTGCTGCGCACGGTTGCAATAGGACGTAGCGGACTCGTGCTCTCCCATCTCGAGGTTAGTGAGCGCCTGCTCTAACTGACCGATGTACAGATCGTCCTTCGCCATGTACGTGCGCATAATAAACTGCCATGCCTGTTAGCCGGCATCGACCTTCATGCGACACGCCTTAAGGGCGATCTGTACGGTTGGGGAGCAGCATCGGGAAATGGTGGTGAATGTCAGCAACTGCATCGCGCGGAACTGAGAGAGATGCGCAAGCGCACGCGCTGGTGGAATGGGGGTGGTGCCATCTATGAATCGCTTTAGCTGAGCGATCTCAAGCTGCGGCTCGATTGATTCTGTCCACGTCGACAGGTCGTGACGTCCTTCTAACGGCCTAGTGACAACGATCTTGTCTGGAGTGAATCTGAAGTAGCCATAGTTGGGGGCTATTCCCTCGTCCCTCGACATCGATCCAATCGGGGTAACGCCCGGCATAGCCTCACTATCGAACTCTTCCGCAATTCCTCCTCCAGCAACGCTCCGCCGTCCTACATTCGCATGCTCTCGTGACGCTGCTGCACGATGAACACGCTCCTGTACACCGCCAACGCTAGCCGTACTAAACCGAGTTGGTCCTCGCAGGACCCCACGCGACATCAACCCATCAAACTCCTCGTCATCGCTATTTCCGCCATCGACAGCCATATCCCACGCACTAGTACCTCCCGCAACTTGCTCAACATTCTCTACACGTGGCGAAGGGTGCTCACGACGCCGACGCGAGCGCAATCCCTCCAACATTAGCTCGTATTCGATATCACTAATCTCACCACGAGAATGACGAGCCACGAGATCCTCCTCTAGGGCGCGCAAATTACCGGCCTCCACGTTCGCCTCCTCTGTACTCATCCTCTACGACGTCTCTATAAGGTACCACAAATTAAAATAAAGTGCCCCTTCCTTGAATCCCTCGTCTCGGGGTCACCTCACAAGGGTCCTCAGACGAGTGGTAATAAATTACCAAACGCCCTATCCTTGGGTCCGAGAACGTAACTGGAGGGAAATCAAGAGAGGTTCAACTTAGATTAATAAGCGCCCTTCACTAACGCCGCACGCCAAGGCGAGTATACGAACGCGAATATCAACGACGACGGAAATCTATGCGTGTTCGTTCCACGCTCACCGCACCATGAAGGAATATATTAGAGAGCGTAGCGATAGCGAGAGAGTCTCTGCTATGGGAATGATGTTGCGCCAGCAACTTGGTAGAGTTTTGGTAGCGTTTGCCTCTAAGGACTTTGTGAGAATTGAAGTAGCATTTGGGCCAAGTAGAATTGCAATATCAATTATCAAACACACAAGCAAACACAAACATATATAGGCAAGCAAGAGTTGCACAATTGTTGCGTGGCGCTGCGAGTAACCCAACCCACACGAAAGTGCTGTGCAGGTGGGTGAACGCGCCCCGCACATTTCCAACCCAACTCGGCACCGGAATGTCTCACCGTGCACGCTACTCCTGCCAACACAGCAAGTGAGCAGCGTGCCTCACAAGCAAGGCACCTACGACCCCCAAGACTCGTCATTCCTAGCACCGATTCCGCCGAGTTCGCTGCAGTAGCTCACAGTCACCCGTAGTCACTAATGACCGCCACCGAACTCGTGCGTCGGTGCCGAGTAGACTCAGTCGTTAGGCGCCGACCTGCCAAGTCAAAGGTCATCGAGGGCCCTTGCTGTCGTAGGGCCCTCTAACAACCGCGTTGCTCGCTTCGTTGTCATGCTATGCCATCATTCCCTGTTGCCTCTCGTATTTCAAACTTACTTCCTCAACCCCACCTTTTCACTCACCACACCCATCCGCTTCCACCCACCCATCCACTCCCCCCCAGCCCTTTCCTTCCCCCGCACCCTTTCATCCCAAACCCCTCCCCTTTCCCCCGCCGCTCCGTCCATCCCCCCTTTTCTTCGCCAGTCGTCAGCACGCACGTCGGAACGGAGCTGCCCGTAGACACTGACGGAATCTACCTCGTTCTCACGAGTGCTGACGTCAAGGTTGACGGACTCTGTGATGAATTCTGCGGATTCCACACCTCTCATACTTTGGATTCGGGGGAAAATGTCGCTATTGGTTTCATAGGGCACCACGACCTGTGCTGCAAATACGGCGAGTGAGTGTCGGCTCCGTGTTTTACGAGGGTGGGTGAGAGAATGTGAAGGAACATCATTTCCCTTTCCAATTCTCAACAACTATTCCACCAACTCGACTACTGCTTTCAGCACCACAGCCCAAATCCATCACTTACCAACCGTATTCCACATCCCCAAACCCATCCAGCGTCACGCCCAATGGCATGCCAGGAATTGATGGCATGATCTCCACGATTGCTCACGAAGTCACCGAGGCTGCTACCAACCCTGACGTCTCGTCCGGATGGATGGCCTCGGACGGCGAAGAGAATGCCGATATGTGCGCGTGGCAGTATGGAGATGTTTCACAGGACACTGATGGTGATGGTAATACGTATGACTACAACATGGTTGGGAACGATGGGATGCGGTTCATGGTTGAAGGTAACTGGGACCTGTTTACTAATTCATGCCAAATTCAAGCACAGGATGATGGGTACTAGAACTGAACTTCTTATTGGCAGGTCTTGTCCTGCTCCAACTCCTTGTTGGGAGGAGTACCTGCTATGGCTGCTAAGTCACATTCACGCCGTGGCTTCGTGTCAGTCTCAGTCAAGAATAAAGGGGTTTATTTTGAGTTTTGGACCCTGAATTTTATATCTGCATATGTACTTCAAGTATTTGTGTTGTCCTTTTGCTAATTATAGTAGTAAGAAGATTCTTGGTTTGTGTGCCACTTTTGCACTCATCAAAATAGAGCGTTCAGTTTGGCACCATTATCTCTAAACAAACCTACCGTAAACTGTAACGACTCAGACAAAATCGATAAATCCGATCGCTAGGCTCCATATAGGCATAGAGCAGTAATAATCGCCATTCGCCATTTCTGCGACAGCTTTCTGACACCGTCGTGTCCCGCGCAGCTGCGCCCCACACACAAGCCCCCCTGGAGTGCTCGCTCCAGACCGCGAGAGCTTTCTGATCCTCCGCCATTTCACCGAAGTCCCTCTAAGCCCTACTAGTTCCTTCGCGTGGTTATGCTCGGAGCTGCTCTCGTCGTAGCTCGGATCTCGCGTTCACACGTTGGCCTGATAGCAGTCGGCAACCGTTCTTGGGGGTTCATATGATTGGGATTTGATACGCTGTTTTAAAAACAGGGAGCCTGAATATTGTAGCTATGGTCGCAATGGTGTATGTTTGAGATTGCGAGCCATCGGGGACATCCACGGTCGACCGCGAGTGACGGCGAAGGCGGTTTGTGTACGAAGCAAGGAGATAATCAGGCATGATCTAGGATCCAGATCAACTTGATTAGCTAAACAACGATCTAAATCAGTGACACGAGCGTCAAGCGTCTTGACCGTTGATCGTTGATCGTTGAGCGTCGACCGTCGATCGTCGCGATGCACGGTCGACCGCGAGTGACGGTGAAGGCAGAGGGCAGCGCGGCGGGACAGCAGAAGGCGGCGGAGTCGACCAAGAAGGCGCTTCGGCTGCGCGCCTTGCAGGAGAAGGTGCTGACGTGGCACCAGCAGAACGTGTGAGTGGCTGAGGGGAACGCTAACATACCACTGGTAAGGCGGCTTGCGTAAGTGGCATTTTGCAGAGATCAAACTTGCACGGAGCTTTTGAGTCGACTCGAGAGTCATCAGGGTTTGCAGGGTGCAGTGCCGTGCACACCTCAGCTCCCCGCATATAGTCCGCGTGTGATGAGTCGATTTTTGAGTCATGGATCGACTCAAAAATCGACTCATCACACAGGGTTTACAGGGTGCAGCGCAGTGCAGTGCCGTGCACCTCAGCTCCCCGCATCGCGTTTCCATGGATTTACCGCAAAGAAGCTCCCCCCCACACCCCTCCTCCTCCCTCCACCAGCCAGCGCTGCTCTGCTGGAGCAGAGCAGCGTGTACGTGTACGAGTACGAGTACGAGTACGAGTACGAGTACGAGCCATCTGCCCCTCATTCATTACTAGCCGCCATCTGCCCCTCATTCATTACTAGCCGCCATCTGCCCCTCATTCATTACTAGCCGCCATCTGCCCCTCATTCATTACTAGCCGCCATCTGCCCCTCATTCATTACTAGCCGCCATCTGCCCCTCATTCATTACTAGCCGCCATCTGCCCCTCATTCATTACTAGCCGCCATCTGCCCCTCATTCATTACTAGCCGCCATCTGCCCCTCATTCATTACTAGCCGCCATCTGCCCCTCATTCATTACTAGCCGCCATCTGCCCCTCATTCATTACTAGCCGCCATCTGCCCCTCATTCATTACTAGCCGCCATCTGCCCCTCATTCATTACTAGCCGCCATCTGCCCCTCATTCATTACTAGCCGAGCCGCCAGCGCTGCTCTGCAGGAATAGACACTCAGTGTGTACGTGGCGTGGAACTACCGCAAGAAGGCTTCCCCCTTCCACCTCCCTCTCCTCCCTTTTTCCTCTGCAGGAGCAGAACCTCGATGTGCACGTGGCGTGGAACTACCTCTTTTTCCCCACTTAAAAATGGCCTTCCCCCCTCCCCCCCCTCTTCCCTTTTTTTTCCTGATTTCAGCTACTCGCCTGAGGCTCTAGCAGCCAGCGCAACTCTCCTAGAGCAGAACCCTGACGTGTATGTGACGTGGAACTACCGCAAGAAGGCTCCCTCCTTCTCCTTCTCCCCTCCCTCTTTGCCTTTCAGTTACTCGCCAGAAGCACTAGCCGCCAGCGCTGCTCTCTTAGAACAAAACCCTGACGTGTATGTGACGTGGAACTACCGCAAGAAGGCGTTTGCCCACCGATGCGGCGCTCTGGAGGCAGGGGAGGGTGGGAGCAGGGAGGGGAAAGCGGTGCAGAGGGGTTCGGAGGTGAAAGAGGGGGAGAAGGAGGCGCAGGGGAAAGAGGGGCAGGGGGAGGGGGGGAAAGAGGCGCAGGGAGAGGGGGGATCAGGGGAGGGAGAGGTGGGGACGGATGGGGCAATGGGTGAGGCGGAGAGTGCAGGAGGGAGGGGTGACAAGAGGGGAGAGAGTGAAGTTGGGGGGGAGAATGATGGGAAGCAGGGAGAGGAGCAGGAGAGGGTGGAACGGGAGCGAGAGGAAAAGGCGAGGAAGGAAGAAGAGAAGAAGATAGAGGAAAGGAAGATAGAGGAACGGAAGATAGAGGAACGGAAGATAGAGGAACGGAAGATAGAGGAACGGAAGATAGAGGAACGGAAGATAGAGGAACGGAAGATAGAGGAACGGAAGATCGAAGAAGCTAAGGGGAAGCTAGCAGACGAAGAGCTGAAGCTGGTGAGTGAGTAAACGGCGTGACTGATGGTACCATTGGCATAACTTGCGAGTCTGACAATGCTACACTCACTGAGTCGCTCCTGAGAATTCGAAAAAAAATGGACGAAGATCTGAAACTGGTGAGTGGTTTTGAGTGACCGATAGTACGTTTGGCACAACATGCGAGTCTGCCAATACTACACTGGACTGGATGAGGAGGTTGGCTCAAACCAACCCCCCACCCCTCCTCTTAACTCATCCCCTCCCCCCTCCATTGCTACTCTCCCTCACACATGCAAAACAGATAGAAGCAGCGGTACGGACCAACCCCAAGTGCTACGGCGCCTGGCCTGGCACCACCGCAAGTGGCTTCTTGAGTCACCTCAGAAATCTATCCTTCAACTCTCCCTCTCCAACCCAACTTCTTCCAAACACTCGCAACAGATAGAAGCAGCCCTACGGACCAACCCCAAGTGCTACGGCGCCTGGCACCACCGCAAGTGGCTCTTCGCCCTCTCCTCCACCGAGCCTCTCCCGAGCCTCGGAGCCAACCTCGGGCCGAGCCTGCAGCAGGTTCGGATCAATCTGCGGACGGAGGCTCGGATCGCCCGGGAGCAGAAGCTGCTGGGGATGATGCTGAGTGCCGATGATCGGAACTTCCACGCCTGGGACTACTGGAGGTGAGAGAGGGATTGAGAGCGGTATTGATGGGTATGGGTGGTGGTGATGCGGAAGTTGCTGGGGATGATGCTGAGTGCCGATGATCGGAACTTCCACGCCTGGGACTACTGGAGGTAACGGTGGTGAGGGGTGATGATGGGTGTGTATGGTGATATTGCAGGTTGATGCTGAGAGCAGATGATCGGAATTTCCATGCCTTGGACTACTGGAGATGTTGTAGGGATTGAGAGCGGTGCTGATGGGTGGGTGGTGATGCAGATGCTGTGGGGTTACAACCTTGCTCACCTGCCACCATCCAGTTCCACCCATCTCATCTTCTCAGTTCCACCCATCTCATCTTCTCAGTTCCACCCATCTCATCTTCTCAGTTCCACCCATCTCATCTTCTCAGTTCCACCCATCTCATCTTCTCAGTTCCACCCATCTCATCTTCTCAGTTCCACCCATCTCATCTTTTCAGTTCCACCCATCTCATCTTCTCAGTTCCACCCATCTCATCTTCTCAGTTCCACCCATCTCATCTTCTCAGTTCCACCCATCTCATCTTCTCAGTTCCACCCATCTCATCTTCTCAGTTCCACCCATCTCATCTTCTCAGTTCCACCCGTCTCATCTTCTCAGTTCCACCCATCTCATCTTCTCAGTTCCACCCATCTCATCTTCTCAGTTCCACCCATCTCATCTTCTCAGTTCCACCCATCTCATCTTCTCAGTTCCACCCATCTCATCTTCTCAGTTCCACCCATCTCATCTTCTCAGTTCCACCCATCTCATCTTCTCAGTTCCACCCATCTCATCTTCTCAGTTCCACCCATCTCATCTTCTCAGTTCCACCCATCTCATCTTCTCAGTTCCACCCATCTCATCTTCTCAGTTCCACCCATCTCATCTTCTCAGTTCCACCCATCTCATGGACCTCTCAGAAACCCTCTCCTTGTTTCCGTTCCATTCAGTACCGTCCTTGCTTCGTCAGTCATGCTGCCCGTGCCCATCCCAACCCAACCATGCATGCAACCAGGTTCATTTCACATGTGGCCCGCATGTCACTATCCAAGGACTTGGGTTTCACCATGGAGCGAATCAACGCCAACTTCAGCAACTACAGCGCGTGGCACAGCCGCAGGTGAGTCGTTCAGCTAGGACACGCCTGCTCAAAGGGTGCTAGGAGGTGTATCAGGACCTGACCAACTTTTTTCGTCTGTGAGCAACCAAGGACCTGGCCTTATGCTCTTCACCATGCATCGAATCGAATCAACGCCAACTTCAGCAACTACAGCGCGTGGCACAGCAGGACGTGAGACGAGGGAGGGGAGGAGGGAGGAGAGAAACAGCTGCGTCCAAGCCAGGGCTGTCCCAGGCAGCCCTGTGAGTTAAACCGTGTGAGCGATTGTTTAGAACTCTCTAATATTGCTTAGCCAGAACTATCCCAGGCAGCCCTGTGAGTTGGTGCGGCAGGCCTTCTTCACCGAGCCTGACGACCTGAGTGGGTGGATGTATCAGCACTGGCTGCTGCAGCAGATCCTGCCGCCCCTGCCGCCCCTGCCGCCCCTGCTGCCCCTGCCGCCCTAGTTTTCTTCCCCTCCGCTCTCAACCCCTTTGCGTTCCCTCTTCCCCCCCTTGCGTTCCCTCTTCCCCTTTGCGCTCCGCCCAACAGCAAGCTGCTACCAAAGCTGCACGCGTGCCCACCACCACCAACCACGCCCACTGCACCAGAGGCAAAGGGGTTGCCGCAGGCAGCGTTGGAGGAGGAGTGTGAGTTGGTGCGCCAGGCCTTCTTTACGGAGCCAGATGATCAGAGTGGGTGGATGTACCAGCATTGGCTGCTGCAGCAGATCCTGCCGCCCCTGCCGCCCCGCCTCCTCTCCTCCTGGGCTTCGCCTGGAAGCACTGTCTGCTACTCCTCACCTGAAAATCCACCTGAGAAATCTTCTGGAGGCGATTCTGCAGCTGGGGAGGGCGTTTCCGAATCTTCTCCCAGAGCTCCGGGGCAGGTTCGGATGTCGGCGGTGCTGGTGTTCTCCGAACCTGTGGTGGGGGTGACAAGAGAGAGTGTGACTCTAACGGGGGCTGGGATGGAGGTGGGCGAGTGGAGGGCTGTGGGGGGCGAAGAGGCGTGGCTTTCCGGGCGGCAGTCTGGCTGTGAGAGGGAAACGGGCGGCGATGTGGGGCCGAAGAGTGCGTCTGTATGGACGGCGCAAGTTGTTTGCTCCACATCTCATGAAGTTAGAGCAGCTGCTGCTTCCACTGCAGCTACTGATGCTGCTTCCACTGCAGCTACTGATGCTACTTCCACTGCAGCTACTGATGCTGCTTCCACTGCAGCTACTGATGCTGCTTCCACTGCAGCTACTGATGCTGCTTCCACTGCAGCTACTGATGCTGCTTCCACTGCAGCTACTGATGCTGCTTCTTCTGCTGCTGCTGCGGGTGGGAGGGAAACAGGTGCGGCTGCCTCATCACCCACCATTCTGGTCTCGTGGGTGTTCGCCCATCCATCTGCCATCCGCTCTGCTGCCACTGGCCAGTCCCTCCTGCTCCCCCACACGGACAGCAACAGCAGCAATGGCAGCAACGGCAGCAGCAGCTTCACGCTACAGCTGCAAGGAAGCTCGTTGATTCTGCCACAGATGGATGTTTCTGAGACCAATGGCACTCACTCGCAAGCAACTGTGCCGCCCGTGAACCTCCCCACTCATGACTGGTCCAACTTCCGCTGGCCCTCCTCCTCCCCTTCGCCTCCTCCCCCTGCTGCTGCTGCTGCTGCTGCTCCTGCTCCTGCTCCTGCTGCGCCTGCTGCTGCTGATGGCGATGCTGCTGCCAGTGGTGCTGCCTCTAGTGCTGGTGGTGCTGCCAGTGCTGGTGGTGCTGCGGGAGGGGGCGAGCAGTGGCGAGTAGATGTGGTCCAACGGGAGATTGACATGTGTCGCGAGCTCATTGACCTGGAACCAGACAGGTGTGTGCGTGGTATTCCGTGCGATGTGTCGTGTGACTTGGACCATGCCGTGTCTGTGTGGTGTGGTCCCTCCAACACCAAGAAGAATAGCTCAACCCATTTCTCGTATCCCGTCTCCTTTCCTCCTGCTTCCAGCTTCGGTTCCTCTCTCGCACTCTCAAACCCAAAACCCCGCTCCCCTTCCCTTCCTGCTCCCCCTTGCTTGCAGCAAGTTAGCTATCCCCTCCTTCGCCCACCTGTTCTCCACTTCTTGAGTCAACTAAAACAATCCCCCATTCCCCCCTCCCTGCTTCCGCCCCTTTCCAACCCTTCAACCATCGTCTTCCAGCAAGTGGGCTCTCCGCTCTCTCTCCCGCCTCCTCTCCACTCATTGAGTCAAATGTCCTCCTACTCTCCCCCCTCCCCCCTCCACCCCTTCCCCCCCCCCCCCCCCCCCTCCTCGCTCTTCCAGCAAGTGGGCTCTCCTCTCTCTCGCCCGCCTCCTCTCCACACGCCGCCAGCTCCACCACCTCTTGCCGAACCTACCCGTGCATGCTCGGCAAGATGCCGAGGCTCGTGAAGAGGTTCGGTCGTTGCTTCGGCGGCTGGAGGGGATCGATCCATACCACAAGGAGTATTACCGGGACCTGCTAGAAGCACTGGAGGGGGAAGAGGTGAGTAAGGGTATGTGTAAGGAGTGTGTGTGAATAGGTGAGGGTGTGTGTGCAAGAAGAGAGGTTGTGAATGAGGTGAGGAACAGCAACAGCATTGGCGGGGATTGGTCCGTATCACCAGGAGTATTACCGTGACCTGCTAGAAGCGCTGGAGGGGGAAGAGGTGAGTAGGGTTTGTGTAAGAAGAGGGGTAGTTAATGAATGAATGAAGTGAGGAATAGCAGCAGCCTTGGCTGGTGGGATCAATCCGTATTACCAGGAGTATTATCGAGACCTGCTAGAAGCGCTGGAGGGAGAGGGGGTGAGAAGGGTGTGTGTGAAATAGGAGTGTGAGTATTACCCCTTGGGGGTGATCGATCCGTACCACAAGGAATATTACCGCGACCTGCTAGAAGCACTGGAGGGAGAGGAGGTGAGGAGGGTGTGTGAATGAGGTGAGGGTGTTTGGATGAGTGTCCCACGTGGGGGTGAGTGAGTGTCCCACGTGGGGGTGAGTGAGTGTCCCACGTGGGGTTGAGTGAGTGTCCCACGTGGGGGTGAGTGAGTGCCCCACGTGGGGGTGAGTGAGTGCCCCACGTGGGGGTGAGTGAGTGCCCCACGTGGGGGTGAGTGAGTGCCCCACGTGGGGGTGAGTGAGTGCCCCACGTGGGGGTGAGTGCTCACCTGGGGGTGAATGCCCGTGTGTGTCTAACCCGACCTTTGGTTTTCAATCTTGTCCCCTCGTTTGTCTCACGCATCTTTGCACCTCCTCCCATTGCCCCCATCTCCAATTCACCCCATCAGGACACACCCACCACAATCAACACCACCAACGCCTCCAGCAGCAGCAGCAGCACCACCACCACCACAGTGTGTCTGTCCCATAAAAGCCTCTCCTGCCTGCCAGCGCCCTATCGCCTGCTGCCAGTCTCCGCGCTGCTCCTCGACCACAACTGCATCTCCACTCTCACAGGTGCGTCGCTCCTCTCGCCCACCTCCCCTCTCTGCATGCCCTGGTAACATCCCAACATGTGAGAGAGGGGAAACATCCCAACACTTATCTTCGCAAGCTCCCTCCGCCCAACCATCCTCCAGGTTTCGAAGCCCTTCAGAATCTGCAAGTGCTGGACCTCTCTCACAACCTCATCGCCTTCTCATCAGCCGTCGCCCCTCTCGCCCATCTCCCCGCCCTCCGCGCTCTCTCCCTCGCCCACAACCTCCTTGGAGGCAAACCCGTCGACCACCACCGCTACTGCTACCCCTCCCCCCGATGCAACCGGTTCCCCTCTTGGCACATGCCAAGTCACAGCACGGGGGAGGAAGTTTTCTCCGGTAGGGCTACCAGTAGGGTAGGGAGTCCTTTGTCTGCCGAACCTGCTGCCGAAGCTGCTGCCGAAGTAGCAGTAGCAAAAACAGTGGATCTGGTTCGGCAGCATCCAAACCTGTGGGCGGTGCTGCAGTGCCTGGGTGGGCTGCGCCAGGTGGCAGTGCTTGATTTGACCGCGAATCCTGTTTGTCAGTGGGATGGGTATCGGGAGCTGGTTCTTTCCCTGCTGCCACAGCTGGTGGTCTTTGATGCGGGCCCTGTGTAAAGCGCAGTTGCTGACACGTTTCTCCTGAAATGCTGCTGCTGCTGCTCCTGATGTGGCTGCTGTTGGTTTGTTCTCTGCTGCCATAGTTGGTGCGCACTGGTGGGTGTGGGGGTTGCGGGTGGGGGAGGGCACTGCGGCAAGCACTGCTGCTGCAGCCCGTCATACCACAAAATCGTATCTCTCCTGCTGCAGTTGGCCGTCATTGATTCGCCATGTTGGTGGTGCCTTCACAAATCGACTCTCTGATTCACATTGTGACTTGGATTCGTGTGTGTGCAAGGCCTTGAATGCAAGGTCTCAAGCACTAGAGTGCAACAGTTTTTGTTGCCACTGGTACTGTATTGTCTGATATTTTGGCGAGCAAGTCTGATGTCATGAAGACAACCATTACTGATGGATGGAACATTACAAAAGCATTCTCCGTCCTAGCCTACTTTTCACTACCTAGCTGCACATATTTACTAGAGTAGCTACATGCATGAGTGGTGCTTCTGCAATGTTCCCCCATCACCCTCATCATCATCCACTGCCTTTTACAAGCTGAGGTGAAGGTAAATCACACCCTCCCACCGATCACTCTCCCTGAAAGCGTTGCCCCATCAGCACCGGAGAATCCGAGGTACAGGTCATCATTGGTGATCCCTTGGATCGATGCCAGCACATCTGCCACGTCAGCAGCTGACGCCCTCACGACATTGGCCAGCGACCAGGACACCGGGCTCATGGGCACCCACGTGCCAGGCAGGGCGAGGGCTGCTGAAGCAGCAGCGCTGCCGCAGGCGTTGCCCTTGAAGATGGCCTGCGAGTCCGGGGCCTTGGTCACTCCTGCTACGTACAGGTAGTATGTAACCATATAGTCCGAGCCACTGCACAAAGGGGGAGGGGAGGAGGTGGAAGGGAACATGAGTCAGCAGGATTGAACGATCTGAATAGCACGAGTCAACACGAGTCAGCACGAGTCAACACGAGTCAGCATGAGTCAGCAATAGTCAACTTACATCTTGAGGATCTGAATGTCAGCAGCGCCGGCTTGGAGAGACAGCAGGCCGTTGCATGACGTCAGCACGACACGCAGCATGCCCGCCTGTTGGGGCAGAAGATTCGCGATATTCGACACAAGGCCGCTATTGACACCAGTGCCATTCAGAGCGGAATTCAAGGCGTTGAGCATCCCGGCGAGGGCGGACACGTCCCCGTTGAGTCCCGCGACTCGCTGCGTCACAGCCGCCAGCCGCTGCTTCACCGCCGCGCGGATCGCCGCACTCCGGCTCGCGGAAGCCGCAGCAGTGGCTGCACTAGACAAGCCCGCCGAGCCTACGCGTGAGCCTAAGGCCGAGCCTGCGCCCGAGCCTACTCCCGAGCCGATTATCCCCGCCAGGTCCTTGTTCAGAGCGGCGATGCTGGTGCTGATGGAGGAAATGTTGGATCGAATCCCCGAGATCTGGGAAATCAGATCCGTGAAGTTCAGATTCGACCCTGAGATGTTCAGCGCGTTCAGATTAACGAGGCTCGCGTTTAAACCAGCGAGGTTGGATTTTAGCGCGGATATCTGCGCCTGGAGCGCAGCGTCCGCGGAAGCGTTGCTGCTGAGGGCCGCCGAGATCTGATCGAGCGATTTCTTGAGAAGCGCGTCGAGAGATGTGATCTGGCCGTTGAGGGACAACTGGAGACTGGAGAGCGTCGAGTTGAGCGCCGCTGCGGGGCTGCTGCTGCTTGCTGCTGCGACGGCCGCCGCGACGGCTGAATTCAAGCCGGGTGGAAGGCGGTTGGTGGGTAGACTGCTGACGCCGGGAAGAAATCGGCCAGCTTCGACTCGTTGTGTTGCCAAAAGCACTGGATTGAATGACAAAACGAAGAGAGATGAGTTTCCGAGGACAAAATGCAACTGAAAGTTCGTGACATACATGTTGTTCATGTGTAGCGCGTGAAGAGGTGCTCTCTGGTGCTGAATAGCTTGGCTTGGCGAAGTGGCTCACCTGTGAGGACCAGAGCGACAAGCCCGAGTAGCGTGGAAGGAGCTGCTGTGCGTGCCATGATGAGTGTCGAGCTACTATTTTTTAAATCGAAGATTGAGTACTAGTAACTGGTTGAAGAGAGCTCAGGGAGGCGCTGTTCGCTTAACAATCAAGATTGGAACGAAAATCGCTGTGATCGGTGAGTGCGACGAAATGTGTACACGAGTTGTTATCAGTGTCTGAGGTAGTGGGGTGCTGGAGTGCTGATTTGGGTTGCGTTGTGATTGTGACTTGATGCCCAGATCTTTTCTGGTGCTCAATTTATATGTTCCTGCGAGACCGCGTGGAGACCTTGGAATTGCAAGGCTTTTGTGCGGTGGAGCTAGAAATTTCGGAAATTTCTATCCGGACCGCGGATTGCGTGCGTCTGATTGGTTTACCTCCTCTCATCGAGGCGCACGCGGAGTGGCTGGGAGCGGTGCTGTGAGCGAGCAGTTGGTGGTCGGTCGGTCGGAGGATGGTGAGGGCGGAAGGGAGCGTGAATGCAGTTGAATGGACGGGGCAATTGCACCGAAAATGGCAAGCGAATTGCATTGATAAGACACAGTCCTTTCGTTTGAGTTTCGCAACGCTGTACACTCTCATATATAGAAATATATTCCTAGGTTGTACCAGACATGAGTTTTATGGGCTCTGGCCCAACTCACATATCAGATTCCCTCCACGCTAGAGAAATTCTACCACAATGTTGAACGGAAATAGCTGTAGGAAATGATCATGATTAGCAATCCAACATACAAACAAATTACCCTAGCTTCCTACAGTGTGAAGTCAACTCCACACAATCCAGTAGCCCACATAGTCCATTCGCCGAACCTGCTGCCGAACCACCACCAGCAGCAGCAACCCTGGATCTGGTTCGACAGCATCCGAACCTGTGGGTGGTGCTGCAGTGCCTAAAATGGCAAGCGAATTGCATTGATAAGACACAGTCCTTTCGTTTGAGTTTCGCAACGCTGTACACTTTCATATATAGAAATATATTCCTAGGTTGTACCAGACATGAGTTTTATGGGCTCTGGCCCAACTCACATATCAGATTCCCTCCACGCTAGAGAAATTCTACCACAATGTTGAACGGAAATAGCTGTAGGAAATGATCATGATTAGCAATCCAACATACAAACAAATTACCCTAGCTTCCTACAGTGTGAAGTCAACTCCACACAATCCAGTAGCCCACATAGTCCATTCGCCGAACCTGCTGCCGAACCACCAGCAGCAGCAGCAACCCTGGATCTGGTTCGACAGCATCCGAACCTGTGGGTGGTGCTGCAGTGCCTAGGCGGGCTGCGCCAGGTGGCAGTGCTTGATTTGACGGGGAATCCTGTGTGTCAGTGGGATGGGTATCGGGAACTGGTACTCTCCCTGCTGCCACAGCTGGTGCTCTTTGATGGGGGCCCTGTGTGAAGCAGCGCTGCTGCTGCTGATTTTTTAGGCGCCTCAGGAATCCTGTGTGCCAGTGGGATGGGTATCGGGAGCTGGTTCTTTCCCTGCTGCCACAGCTGGTGCTCTTTCAAGGGGGGCCTGTGTGAAGCGCTGCTGCTGCTCCGTTGCTGCTCCTGATGCAGCTGCATGAATCAGTGTCCAGTGGTGGGGTGGGGCTCCTGCCTGAAGCACTATGCTGATACGGAACAAGATCTTACGGGACCATTCTGGTACCTTAGCTTCTCCCACACTTTGGGGATTGTTATACAAGGAAGGTTCAACTATTTGTTTGAAAGTGAGGCCTTTTGCACAAGCATGGGATTGTCCCTGTTACCTCCAACCAAGACCTAAGTGGAGGTTTTTATAACTATCACGTAACGGGCCATCAAACAAAACTCCTTTTGATGAATGGAACATTACAAAAGCATTTTCTCCTATCCCGTGACATACAACTGCATCTAGCTGCACGTTATTTGTGTAGCTCCAAGCATGAGTGGTGCTTCTGCAATGTTCCCTCACCAACCCCTGTTCTTGTTGACATGCGGTGCAAGTCACACCCTTCCACCCATCATTCTCCCTGAGAGTGCCACGTCAGCACCGGAGAATCCGAGGAACAGGTCATCATTGGTGATTTCTTGGATCGATGCCAGCACATCCGCCACGTCAGCAGCTGACGCCCTCACGACATTGGCCAGCGACCAGGACACCGGGCTCATGGGCACCCACGTGCCAGGCAGGGCGAGGGCTGCTGAAGCAGCGCTGTTGCTGCAGGCATTGTCCTTGAAAATGGCCTGCGAGTCCGGGGCCTTGGTCACTCCTGCTACGTACAGGTAGTATGTGAGCATGTAGTCCGAGCCACTGCGTAGGGGGAAAACGGAAGGTAGCAGAGAGGAGGGTAGGAGAATTAGCATGAGATAGGGACCAATGTTCACCTTGGAATGGTGTAGAGCAAAAAAACAAATAAGAAAGCCTGGTGGGTAGGGGAACTGCTGGACAGTGGGTCAGCATAAGACAACACAAGTTCACGGGAGTCGACTCACATCTTGAGGACCTGAATATCGGCAGCGCCAGCCTGGAGAGACAGCAAGCCGTTACATGACGTCAGCACGGCACGCAGCATGCCCGCCTGCTGAGGAAGAAGATTCGCGAGATCCCCCACCACGCCGCCGTTGTTCAAACCCCCATTCAGAGCGCCGTTCAAATCGCCGTTGAGAGCGCCGTTCAAAGCGCCGCCATTTACAGCGCTGTTGAGAGCGCCATCCAGAGCGCTGCTCAGCGCGCTGTGCAAGTCGGTCACCATCCCGGCGAGGGCGGACACGTTCCCGTTGAGCCCCGCGACCCGCTGCGTCACAGCCGCCAGCCGCTGCCTCACCGCCGCGCGGATCGCCGCGCTCCCACTCGCGGAAGCTGCCCCAGCTGCTGGACGCAACGCGCCCGCCATGCCTGCGCCCGATCCTACGCCCGAGCTAACGCCCGAGCCGATTATCCAGGCCAGGTCCTTGTTCAGAGCGGCGATGCCGGTGGTGATCGAGGAGATGTTGGATCGGATTCCAGAGATCTTGGAGGAAATCAAATCCGTGACGTTTAAATCCGATCCTGAGATGTTCAGCGCGTTCAGGTTGACGAGGCTCTCGTTGAAGGCAGCGAGGTTGGCTTTTAGCGCGGATATCTGCGCCTGGAGCGCGTTGTCTGCAGCTGACGGTCTGCTTTTGAGAGCCGCAGATATATTCTCGAGCGATGTCTTGAGAAGCGCGTCGAGAGACGCGATCTGGCCGCTGAGGGACGACTGGAGGCCCGAGAGCGTCGAGCTGAGCGCGGCTGCGGGGTTTCTGGCTGCTGCGGCTGCGGCCGAGATTTCTGAATTCAAGTTGGTTGGAAGGCGGTTGGTGGGTAAGGAACCGGCGCTGGGCACTAGAAACCGGCCTGCTTCGGCTCGTTGCGTTGCGAAAAGCACTGCAATGCATTGAAAAAAGTAGGAGAGATGAGTTTTTTAGGATGATGTGCAACTGAAGGTGCATGAAATGGTTTTCATGCTTAACGCGCGAAGAATATTTGTTCATTGCTATCCGACACGTCTTGAAAACGCGCTGGCTAGGAAAATGGCTCACCTGTGACGAGCAGAGCGACAAGCCCTAGCGTGAAAGGAGCTCCAGCGCGTGCCATGTTTGCCGAGCTAGGACGCGAATTAGGTGGAGCTACTGATAGAAGTGCTAACTGGTGAGCTAGCTCAGGGAGGCTGAATTTTCGAAATGTGACACGAAAAGGGAGGCGCAGTGATCCGCGAGTGATAAGAATTGAGAACCAAAGGCGCTGTATATGCGAGTGTGTTGTTCTGGTTCCAAGATAATCGTTGCGGAGGCTTGTTTGTGATGTTGAGTTGAGAGTTGATGCCCAAATGAACTCTTGGTGCTCTATTTGTAGGTTTCTGCGAGAGTGGGCGGGGCGAGCCCCCTGAATTTGCACGAAGCAGGTGGGCTGGTTGGAGCCGGAACTGGAAATTTGAGAATTTCACCGCGGACCGCGGATTGTGCGCCTATGATTGGTTTATCCGCCACCGTCGAGTCGCACGGGTGGCTAGAGAGCGGTGCTGGCTTTGGCGGAGGATGCTGCAGGTGAGAGGATTTGCGGTGCGGTGCTGTGGTATGGTGTGCTTTTGACGGTGGATGAACAAACCAACCAGAAACCAGTGAAAAGCCAATGGAAATTCGTTGATGGGGTGCTTCGTTTGAAGTTCAAAAGCTTTGCACCTTCGGAGCAAAACGTTTGTTAGAAAACGTTGTTACACAAGTGATGCAACCAGTTGCTGAATTTCTCTCTTGCGAATGGAAGCACCTGGCTGATACCCTTTTGACACCCAGCTCAGCGTCTGGTTGTGGTGAGAGGACTGAGGGAAGAGTTTCGGCTGGTGTGGTGAAATCTCAATCCTCTTTCCCCCCCTTCTCCCCCTCTTGTCGTACGGTATGCCATTTGCCCCGTTTCTTTCCCATCTGACCTAGCGTATGCTCTAGGGATGACTTCTCCCCACTTCTTCTCGAGATCTCCAACCACTACTGCAGATCGATGCCCCAATTCCTTCACTTCCCATTTGCTCGGGCCTGTGTGCTAGAAGGCACTTCTGAGAATTTTCAATTGTCAAACCCCAACCGCTACCGCAGCTAGAATCTCGATGCCCTTTTTCCCTCTAACCTACAACATGCTCAGGCCTTGCAGCCTGGAGTGTGATTGCAAAAAAATCCTGCTGTATCGAATGTTGTCTGCCATTTGGTTGCAGGCTTTAGCGTGAAGATGAATTCCCCGCGACGAATCTCTCTGCTACTTTGCTGCAGGCTTGAGCGTGATTATAAGGAATCCCGCGGGGTCGAATTTCGCCCCGACCACCTTCCCCTGAATGGCTCGAGGCAGCTCCACACACCGCCTCTGGTCCCCCGCCTCCACCAGCAGCTCTGCCCCGCCCTTCCACTGGTGATGGGTGGGTGGGGGGAAGGGGGAGAAAGGGGAATGCGGCACAATTACCACGCGTGTAATATTTTCTTGATCGGATTGGAGCAGCTTCACACACCGCCTCTGATCTCCCGCCCCCACCAGCAGCTCCGCCCCGCCCTTCCACTGGTGATGTGTGGTGGGAGGAAAAGCGAAGGGAAATTGGGGGCGTAAGGCCAAGAAGTGAAGAACTAGGGGCAATTAGCATGTGTAAACTTCCTCGGGACGGCTTGACGCAGCTCCATACAGCACCTCTGGTCACCTGCCTCTACCAGCAGCTCTGCCTCGCCCTTCCGCTGGTGATTGTTTGGTGAAGGAGGGGAACGAGGGGAGAAGAGGAGGGAAGGGAGTAAAAAGGGGAAGAAAAGGCAATGAGCAGGAATGTCATGTGAGAGGAAGAAACACATTGATCCCTGGTGAAAAAGCATCCTATGATCAAACCGACTCACCTGCTGCTTCTCAACCTCTTACTTGTCGAACCCCCAAGGTGTTGGTCAGTGAGAGTCAAGTCACATAAAGGGAGGGTATATCTTGAACCTTGGTGAAGATATGATTACGAACCGACCGACTCACCTGTTGCAGCTTGACCTCCTGCTTGTCAAATCCCGGCAGAAACAGACGGACCGTGCATGCCGCCACGTCCACATCCACCGCCGGAGGAGCCTTCCCCGCACCTTCCCCATTCATAACCGCCACCGCCCCATCGTTCATCTGCCCGGCCGCGGCTGCTACAGCCGCCGGTGCCTCCTCTGACACCACGGGCAGCTGTGCCACGGGCAGCGGAGAAAACTTTTCTGCCAGCCCGCCGGATGCTGTCGCCGATGCAGCCTCTGATGGGAGAAGGAAGACGCCTGAAGGGGACACGCCTGCTTGCACTGCGCAGCCCCAGATGCGGCGACACGTGTCGACTGACGAGTGGCTCGCTGCGTCGGCCAATAGGAAGACGGACGTGCGGTACGGGTCGGCAAAGGATGAGACGGCTTTCTGAGGGGGTGGGGTGCGGCAGGTAGGGTGGGACCGTGGGAGAAGGGGAAGACGGGAGAGCAAGAGGGGCGGACAGAGGGATTAGGGAAATGGGTTGGGGGTTGCTGTTGTGATATGGCTGAAGAGGCTCTTTGATATGTTGCCAGCCCAGACTCACAGAGAGGAACGAGTCTAGCCTTTTCCATATCTCTGCCGTGCTTCGCTGCTCGTCCGCCCCACCACTCCCACTCCCACCACCAGCAGCACCACTACAGTGGAGTCTAGTCTAACAGACGGGCCACGGAGAGCCGCAGCCACTCATAGCAAATCACAGAGCCCAGACCACAAACTTTCTCGTCTAGGCAGACTCACAGAGAGGAACGAGTCGAGCTTCTTCGGCTTTTGAGAATTCTCAAAACTTCTCCCATATCTCTGCCGTGCTGCGCTGCCTGCCCTCCCCGCCACTCCCAGCAGCGGCACCAGCACCGCTACCCCTTTTGGAGAGCCCACAATGGAGTTGAGCAGGCGGGCCATGGATGTTAGAGCCACACGGCCACACACGCGGCACTCACAGCGAAACACACAGAGAGTTGAGAGATGCTGCCTGTCCAGACTCACAGAGAGGAAGGAGTCGAGCTTTTCCCATATCTCCGCCGTGCTGCGCTGCTCGTCCACCCCACCCCCACCAGCACCGCCACTGCCACCGCTCCCCCCTTTGGAGGAGCCCACGATGGAGTCCAGCAGGCGGGCCACTGACGGCAGAGCCACACGGCCGATGTCTGTCCGCTCTGCTAAGGCTCGGAACCTCCTCAGATACCACCTGGTTCAGATGGGGCAGGGCAGAGGTGTGAGAGTGAGGGAGGGAGTGAGGGTGGGTCGCGGGGGGAGGGCAGAGCCACACGCCCGATGTCCGTCCGTTCTGCCAGCGCTCAGAACCTCCTCAGATACCACCTGGCTCGGATGGGTTGGATTGGGTTCAGATGGGTTTGGGAGGGGAAATGAGGGGCCCATGTCTGTCGTGCAATGCCAGGATACGGAACCTCCTGATTCAGATAGATTCAGTTGGGTTGGGCTAGGGTGCCAATGGGTTGAGATGGGATGGGATGTGATGGGATGGGATGTGATGGGATGGGATGGGATGCGATGGGATGGGATGGGATGGGATGGGATGGGATGGGATGGGATGGGATGGGATGGGATGGATGGGATGGGATGGGATGGGATGGGATGGGATGGGATGGGATGGGATGGGATGGGATGGGATGGGATGGGATGGGATGGGATGGGATGGGATGGGATGGGAATGGGATGGGATGGGATGGGATGGGATGGGAATGGGATGGGATGGGAATGGGATGGGATGGGATGGGACACTCTACAGCATATTACTCACTCCACTGCATTTCACCGCTAAACACTGAACTCAACCGCTCTCCACTGCTCTCCACCGCACCTCACGTGCTCTTCTCTGGGCTGGCCAGCATCCGCAGCACCTCCCAGGTGGTGGGGCCGTAAAAAACCACCACCTCCGTCTCCCCCGTTCGTCCACCCTCCTGTATACCACATTCCACTGCGCTCCAACGCACTCAACCGCACTGAACCGCACCTCACCTGGCTTTTTCCGGGCCGGCCAGCATTCGCAGCACCTCCCACGTGGTGGGTCCGTCAAACACCACCACCTCCGCCTCCTCCTCCCCCCACGGATACACCCACTCCCCCGCTGCCGCCCCTTTCTTCCCTGCTGACGTGGACCGCGGCCCTGATGACGTGGCGAAGGCCAGGAGGCCGCCAGCTGGACGAGCGATGCGCTCCAACACTGCAACTGCCATGACCGCGTCCATTCCTGGTAGGACTGATAGCTCCTCGCCCACCACCTGGGGGGCAGAGATTTCAGAATTTGGGAGTAAGGGAGTGCATGGATATATGCACTTATCCAAACTGCGACTGCCATTACCGCGTCCATGCCAGGCAGGACCGACAGCTCCTCGCCCACCACCTGTTATGGGAGTGGGTGTTTGCGTTTGTGGTTTCTGGTTTTGATTGTTCTCAGGTTGCTAATCCAGGACTGCGACTGCCATGACTGCGTCCATGCTGGGTAGGACGGACAGCTCCTCGCCCACCACCTGGTGAGGTGGAATTTGGAGTTGCGACCCAGAGGTGAGAGGCTGAGGAATGGGGTTGGTGTGAGCGTTCTGGCCGCTCATCTGAGACTACGACTGCTGAGGCGCCTCAAGGTCGCTCATCTGAGACAGCGACGGCCATGACCGCGTCCATGCCTGGCAGCACCGACAGCCCCTCGCCCACCACCTCAAAATTTGTGTATGAAAGTCACCGGTTTACGCATCAGTGATGTGCCTGGCTGCCATACCACATCCGCCATACCACATCCGCCATGCCACATCCGCCATACCACATCTGCCATGCCTGCGTCTGCCATGCCTGCGTCTGCCATGCCTGCGTCTGCCATGCCTGCGTCTGCCATGCCTGCGTCTGCCATGCCTGCGTCTGCCATGCCTGCGTCTGCCATGCCTGCGTCTGCCATGCCTGCGTCTGCCATGCCTGCGTCTGCCATGCCTGCGTCTGCCATGCCTGCGTCTGCCATGCCTGTGTCTGCGTCAATGCCTGGCAGCACTGGAAGGCTGAGGGACAGCCGGAACTGGGAGTTTGAAACTCATGCGTTTGTGGCTGAGGGATGTGGTTCAATAATCAGGGGTTGAGAGGGGTTCGTGGTTGTGGGGCATTGATGTGCTTGGTTTCAATGCCATGGTAGTCTGGACTGCTAACATTAAGCTGATTCATCACTCTCAACATTAATCACACTCATAAAATCACGCTCATATAATCACACTCACCTCTGCCATGCCTGCGTCTGCCATGCCTGCGTCTGCCATGCCTGCGTCTGCCATGCCTGCGTCTGCCATGCCTGCGTCTGCCATGCCTGCGTCTGCCATGCCTGCGTCTGCCATGCCTGTGTCTGCGTCAATGCCTGGCAGCACTGGAAGGCCGAGGGACAGCCGGAACTGGGAGTTTGAAACTCATGCGTTTGTGGCTGAGGGATGTGGTTCAATAATCAGGGGTTGAGAGGGGTTCGTGGTTGTGGGGCATTGATGTGCTTGGTTTCAATGCCATGGTAGTCTGGACTGCTAACATTAAGCTGATTCATCACTCTCAACATTAATCACACTCATAAAATCACGCTCATATAATCACACTCACCTCTGCCAGTGCGCCTTGTGTGATCCCCAGTCGCTCGTCTGCCTTCTTTATAATTTCAAGAGGCGCCAGTAGCAGCTGACAGGGAAAGGGTGGTAAGGAAGGGAACAGATATAAGGAGACAGTTTCTTTTATGAATTCGAGAGGCGCCAGCAGTAGCTGAGAGGAAAAAAGAAAGGTAAGAAAGGGAACAGATATAAGGAGACAGTTTCTTTTATAATCTCTGGAGGCGCCAGTAGCAGCAGACAAGGACAGGACGTAAGAAAGGGAACAGCAATAAAGGGATAGAAAAGGAAGGGAAACAGTGATGAGAGGAAACAGGCCGAGACAAAAGAGAAAAGCAGGAAAGGGAAGGGTCAAACGGACAACTTGCTGATTGCTTCTCGAAGGTGTCAGTGGCAGTAGAGTCGAGTTTTGAGTCGACTCCGCATGTAGTGAGTCGAGTTTTGAGTCGACACCGCGTGTAGTGAGTCGAGTTTTGAGTCGACTCCGCGTGTAGTGAGTCGAGTTTTGAGTCGACTCCGCGTGTAGTGAGTCGAGTTTTGAGTCGACTCCGCGTGTAGTGAGTCGAGTTTTGAGTCGACTCCGCGTGTAGTGAGTCGAGTTTTGAGTCGACTCCGCGTGTAGTGAGTCGAGTTTTGAGTCGACTCCGCGTGTAGTGAGTCGAGTTTTGAGTCGACTCCGCGTGTAGTGAGTCGAGTTTTGAGTCGACTCCGCGTGTAGTGAGTCGAGTTTTGAGTCGACTCCGCGTGTAGTGAGTCGAGTTTTGAGTCGACTCCGCGTGTAGTGAGTCGAGTTTTGAGTCGACTCCGCGTGTAGTGAGTCGAGTTTTGAGTCGACTCCGCGTGTAGTGAGTCGAGTTTTGAGTCGACTCCACGTGTAGTGAGTCGAGTTTTGAGTCGACTCAAAACTCGACTCACTACATTCAAAAGGACAACTTGCTGCTTGCTTCTCGAAGGTCAGTGGCAGTAGAGAGGGAATGAAAGGACTGGGTACTGGGGGAGAGGAAGCACGAGTGGAATGACGGGAAGGAAGTTGGACGAGCAGAGAGGGCAGGCGTGAGAGGAGGAGGGTGAGCTCAATATCCGCTGTTAATGGTGCTGCGAGATCGAAACTTGACGTGAATGGTGGTCAATGCATCAGCAAGAAATTTCCTGTGAGGTTGTTGCTTTCAGTGGTTAAAGTCTGGCTGAATGTACCTCGCTGGTTTGGTTTCCACTCGAAGAGCACACAACAGTGGCTGCTGGGAGTCAGCAGCAGCGCCAGTGGCAGCAGCGGGTGCGGGCACGGGTTGGGGTGAGGGAGTGAGGCGCATGCCGAGCAGGCGGTCAGCCACTCTGTCCTGTGACTGCACCACCAGACACGTGCGGTACCCCTCTGCTGTGTGTGTACCGTCTGGATAGAGATTGAGAGATAGGAGTTTCAGGGGAGATGGATTCGGATGTGGAGTTTTTTCCGTACCTTGGTGGTTTCCACACGAAGCGCACAAAGCAGTGGCTGTTGTGAGGCAGCAGCAGCGGCATCGCCACCAGCAGCAGCGGGTGCGGGCATGGGTTGGGGTGAGGGAGTGAGGCGCATGCCGAGCAGCCTGTCGGCCACTCTGTCCTGAGACTGCACCACCAGACACGTGCGGTACCCCTCTGCTGCATACCGCTGGGTATTACAGTGGGAAGAGACGAGTGGGAGGAGAGAGGAGAGGGTGGAGCACAGAGAGGTCTTGATTAGCAGTGGGAGTGGCTGATGTGGTCCATTGGGCTATCTTAGCGATTGCCCAGCATGCCCAGCAGCCTGTCGGCCACTCTGTCCTGTGACTGCACCACCAGACACGTGCGGTACCCCTCTGCTGCATACCGCTGGAAAGCAGCGGGGAGAAAGAGGAGTGGGTGGAGCAGAGAGCGGCATTCATTACACTGAGGGAGTGGCTGATGTGAATGAATGATGTGTGTTGCACTTGCACTTGCGCTCAGCACCACAAGTTCGACGCTCTCATGCCCATGCAACGTGCAGAAAGGGCTCATAATGGGTCACCGACTCTCGTTTACAATGTAACAATATTGCATGGGCACAAATTCTCGGTTACAATGTAACAATGGGGAGTGCCACCTGAGCATGTCATCGGAGGCGACATCCAGAATGTCACCTGGAACCAGCAGAACGGTGCCTGAACCAACAGAAGGCCACCTGAACCAACAGAAAGCCAACAGAACCAACAGAAGGCCACCTGAACCACCAGATTGCCACCTGAACCAACAGATTGCTATCTGAACCAACAGGTTGCCACCTGAACAAGCAGACTGCCACTTGAACCAACAGATAGCCACCTGAACCAACAGATTGCCATCTTAACCAACAGAAGGCCACCTGAACCAGCAGATTGCCACCTGAATCAGCAGATTACTACCTGAACCAACAGATCTCCACCTCTAATCCTCTCGGATGTCACGTGGGCGAGCAGCATGTCAGCAGCTTTTAGAGTTGATTTATAATCACCTGCGCGAGAAGCACAGACGCAGTCGTCTTCCCCGAGCCGCCCTTCCCCAGCACCATCACCATCCGCGCGGCCTCTCCACTCCCCGCCTTTCCAGCCCCGCGTGTCGCCGCCGCCGCGCAAGCTACCCCGCGTCTCTGATTAGTACCCGCAGGATTCTGGGTGCTGATCGTAGGGGTAACGGCAATAGCTTTTCTCTTGACCTCATTCGCGCTAGATAAATAGTGCTTCTTTCCTCCTGCGCTGGAATAAGGCACGGAATGTTCTGATACTGAGGCGCGAGAAGTGCTGACGTGGCGAGCTCCATGACGCGGAATTCGCGAAAGGTGAGGGTGAGAGTGGGGAGAGTTGAGGGTGAAAATGGCTTGCGGAAAAGACCGGGTGGAGGAGGGGTTGAATCCGGGGAGAAAAGACGAGCGATAGCAGGGAGACGCGCTAGGAGCTCCGCACATTGCGGTGGAGAATGCGACGGCCATGGCTGGTCAGGTGAAGAATTTGTCTCGGACCAGTTTTTGCTGGTGTACCAGGTATGCTTACACGCGGTAAATTTGAATCCCCTGATTGGGCCACACCACATGCACTGAACTCTCACATAATGATAAACATTTTTGCCTGAACATTCAGATTTACAAGTCCTATTTGTATTCTTCAGCTTGTATTCTCGCCTGTACGATGTGGTGTGGAATCTAGTCGTATTTCCTTCACCCTTTGCTGTACCTCCACTCGAGGATATCATTATCGCGTTTTCCCTGACCCAGATTCTTCAAACCCAATCATGGTCATGAAAGATCTGCGTTATCCTTAGTCCAGGCCGGGCACCTCATCACGATCGCGTTCCGCTAGAGCGTTCAGCGGGACGGAAGCTTGACTTCTGCTGTCTGCTCCGCACCAGCCTCCCCCACCAGCCTCCCCCTCCCCCTGTCCCCTTCCCTTCCTCCTTCCCCCTTTTTCCCCGTTTTCCCGCGTTCCCCCTTTTCCGCAATCCACCCCTCTGTCCCGCCAGATTCAGGCCACCCAAGCCACGCTTGAACAAGCTTCAGCGCGAAACACCACATCATTTGAACCATTGTCTTTCAATCCTGTCCGTTCACCACTAAAGGATCTAATCCTCGCCGTTCCTGACAGCATCCTCGCCGTCATCACCCATTAGTAATGCCTGACCAACCAGACCAGACCTACCTGCCTGACGATTAGAAGTCAGCAGAGCTGTGCTTTGTGTAGCAATTCGTTATGTATGGCTTCCATTCCAACAATCAAGAGGTCGTCAGTTTCTTCAACCATCTTGCTGACTGATGACAGGAACGAGCTCAGATGTTGAGCTGTGTAAGCTCACTCGTCCATAGCTGAAATTCCTCCTTCGCCTCGGAATGGCTGAGCTCGATGAGGCAGGAACTGGCATTCCTCTGACTCTCTATCCAATCACTTCCCTACAGATAGGGTAAGGTCTCTGCGGTTAACGTTTTTACCGAGCATCGGGAATAGATTGCGACGATCAGATAACGGAGTAGTGCGTGCTAGTTAATATCACAAACAGCTGGACCGGATTCTATTCACCGCTGATCGTACACACTTTGCTTAACGCTTATTGTTCACGAATGTATTCATTCAGTAGCCGTCGAGAATGCTCACAGTTGATTAGGGAGAAGCTGACGCCTGGTGTTAGCTACTGCTGCTGGAATCCATAGTGCTGGTACGCGGAAAGCGTTTGAAGGGTCCTTTCATATAGTAGCCATTAATCGCACGGTTGATTAAACAAGAAACGGACGTCTGATGTCTACCACTGCTGTTGGAATCCATGGTGCCGGCTGGCGGAAGACGTCCAAAGGGTCCATTCATTCGGTACCTCACGGTTGTTTGTAAGAAGCCGACGTCTAATCTTTACGACTGCTGCTGGAATTCGTGGTGTGCTGGCAGGCGGAAGACGTCGAAAGGGTCCTTTCTGTCCGTGCACATCGCCAAGGAGGCCGGTCAGGTTTTTTTAAACGTCTCATATTTCACTTTTATCACGTGACTGTATTGTGCGGGCAGGCGGAAGACGTCGAAAGGGTCCATTCTGTCGGTGCACATCGCCAAGGACGCCGGTCAGTTGGTCTTCTTCGTAAACAGCCCGTGGTGTCCCAAGCGCAGCAGCGGGAAAGATGCCGGACTATGGCAGCTGCTCTCCAAGGTCGGCCCGGGTTCCACAGGAGGAACTGCGTGCTAGGAATGCTGACTTTGGACAGAAAACAGAAGCAGGAAACGACAATATTACTCATTCTCGCTGTAGAGTATTCCAGCCGATTCTGGATGTTCTTTCTGTCCCGTCATTTCCTATTTGAGAAAAAAAGGCTTGTTTGTCCTCACAAAAAAACCGTTATCCCTGTTGCTTCTGTCACTCAAATTTCAAGCGTCTTCCCCCTCTCTCCTGGAGTCCAGGCACCGCGGTACGACTCACCGTTCGCGAACAACAGCCTCATGGACCGCCTGCTGGGCGAGATCATGGCGCTCGAGGACTCCTTCTGCAGGTCAGTGGCACGATACGAGCTTAATTGTAGACGAATTTAGGCTGTTGAACGAAGAGGCTTATAACGAATCCAACTTCTGGGCGAGGGTGGAAATCAAGGGAACTTTGAGCAGAGGCCGCTGCTGAACACCTTGGATCACCACAAAGCCCACCTCCCATTCATCCGTTCCACACGCTTTTTTGTTTCCTTATCCGTGACATTTCATTGCAGAACTCCGAGACTAGGAAGTGGCAGCAGTGGTGGCGGCAGCATCGGGGGCATAGGCAGCAGCAGTGGGCGGCACAGGAGGGTGAAGTGGAGGTCGCTGGACGCCTTTGTGCGTCGCCTGCACGCCAGGCGCAGGGCGCTCTCGCACCTCCACCCGCCTCCCCACGGCCTCTGTGGCTGTGTCACCCTTGAAGTCAGCTGGAGCGACGTTCGCGGGCTCAGATACGAGAATGAACTGCAGGTATGCTCACATGCACCCGTCCCTTCTCTGCTCCCCATTAGCAGCACTCTGTGCTGCTTATAACAAGCCTTGGAGCCTCAGCCTCCCCTCTTTTCTCTTTCCACAACACTCTTCCGCTGAATCCACCATCTCTCCCTGAGCCCACCATATCCCAGTTCGGGCACACTCCCAACCCAGAACTCTCTACTTATGCCGACCCAAGACAAGACCATCCAGGCGCCTGGCAGCCCAGCCTTGTCCCTTCCATCTCCTACCAACCCCTTCCCCTCCCCACCCGCAACCCGTCTCACCCCTTTCGTGCACCAGTCGGAAGCCAATCTGGCGATGGAGGTGACTCACATGGAGGTTACTCGCATGGATTTATTTCAACTTTTGCGTCGACTCAAAATGCCTCAACTCTCGCTCGCAACCTTTCACACCCCTTCCTTCCATGCGCCAGGCAGAAGCCAATCTGGCGATGGAGGTGACGCGAGTGGTGAAGCGCGAGTACGACTCGTTTGACCAGGCTGTGCACGCACATGCTCTGCGCCTCTACCCCACCACGCCCTCGCATGGAACCACGCCCCTGCACGGGGCCAACCATTCTCACGCCTCCGTGCCTGCCGCTAGTCCATGTGTCTCCTCTGGTCTGTGGATGGGCGGGAGGGCGTTCAGTGGGAATCGGGTAGGACCAAAGTCTCCTCTTGGGGCTGCTGCTGCTGCTGCTGGCGGCGGTGCTGTTGCTGGGAGTTGTGGAGCAATGTACAGCACCCCTGCAAGCAGTTTCGCTGGAAGCAGCAGACTAGCTGCAGCTGCTGCTGTTGCTGCTGCTGCTGGTGATGGGGGTGGTGATTCTGCCCATGCTGGTGCTGCTGCTTCCGGCGTTGATGCTGCTTGTGCCAGTGGCTTGTGGAGCAGGCAAGGCCAGATGTGCATCAGCAGCCCCTTTGGCAGTCCGAGAGAAGCCTTTGGGAGCTCTCAAAAGCTAGCCAGAAAAGCGCTCTTTCACGAACCGCAGGCCCCGTGCTCTCCAGTACCTTCCAGGCTGCACCCTGCCGCTGATGCTGCTGTTGCTCGTGGTGATGCTGATTCTGGAACAAGGGAGGAGCTGGTGGCGTTTCAAAGCACACGTAGCAGACTGTCAGACTCGCAGGTGCGTTAGCCAAGCTGGGTTTCTTCCCTGAGAAGTAAAAGCATTATCGTGCCCCCACAGTCACTCCCTTGATTCCTTCTCTCTCCCTCACTCGTCCTTTCTCGTCCCCTAGACTCTCCCTCCCTGTTTTTGATACCCTTCCCTATTCTCCCTTGTTCCTCCTTTTTCCTTCCTTGTCTCCTGTATGCTCCCAGCTGTGCAGCCCTCCACACCAACAGCAGCAGCAGCAGCAGCAGCAGCAGCAGCAGCAGCAGCAGCAGCAGCGGGCAGGCACAAGTCAGTCCAGTTCGGACCAGCACGCATGGATGAGTGACTCCAGTGAGAGGTTTTCAGAGGGGTGCAGTGAGGTGGGCTTGCTGGACTCCGATTTTGTTTTCCACGCCCCAGGAGAGGGTGAGTGCTGCGATGATAGCAGAGGCTGAGAGGTGACGAATGGTGGTAATGCGGCAGAGGAGAGAATGCCTAAGGGAAACGAACCAGCTTGGCTGTTAGAGAACGGGAGTGGTGGTGTTGCAGATGAGAGGGAGTCCTTTTTGAGTGTGGAGCCTAGCTATGCATCCTGCTGGGAACATGAGTCTCCACTGTACAGCGAGAGCCGATTCACCATGCATGATGACGTGGAGGCAGAGTCACCGCCGAGTGTACATGGTGACGTGGAGGCAGAGTCACCGCCCAGTGTACATGATGACGTGGAGGCAGATGGGGTGGAATCGAGTGCATGTGATTATATTGATGCTGAGCCACATCATAGCGCAGAAAGCTGGGAGGAGGTGGAGGCAAAGTCGCCACCCAGTGTACATGATGATATAGAGGCAGACAGGATGGAATTGAGTGCATGTGATTATATTGATGCAGAGCCACGTCATAACCCAGAGAGCTGGGAGGAGATGGAAGCAGAGTCACAACCCAGAGTCCACGTGGACACTGCTGAGATGGCATCGAGTATGTATGGAGAGATGGAAGCAGTTGGGGTAGCATCCAGTGTACATGATGACGTGGAAGCAGATGGGATGGCATCAAGTGTTTATGATGACGTGGACCAGGATGAGGTAGTATCGAGCGTGTGTGAAGAGACGGAAGCAGAGGCCTGGGATAATCTGGAGGGCTGGGAGGAGGTGGAGGCGGAATCAGCACTGACTGTCAGTGATGGAAGGGGCGAAGATGGGGAAGTGTCAAGCGTGTTTCACGAGGTGGAAGCATATCCAATGGAAGCAGAGTCAGCAGAAGCAGAGTCAGCAGAAGCAGATTCAGCGGAAGCAGCGTTGGCACTGACTGTACATGGTGGTGTGGCACGAGAGCTGTTCCCCAGTATTCTCATTCCTCGCCGCCTCTTTGTGAGCACCAGCTGCTGCCTGAGCGACGATGGGGAGGATGTGTGTGGTGATGATGGTGACGGTGGCAGTGGTGATGTTGGCAGTGATGAGTGTGGAGATACATACAGCTATGATGAGTACGAGGAGGAGGAGGAGAATGAGGAGGAGCAGGAGGAGTGGGAGGAGGAGGACGAGGAGGAGGAGAATGAGAGGGGTGAATCTTTTGATGACAGCTGCGGTAGTTGCAGTAGTGGCGGTGGTGGCAGTCGTGGCAGTAGTGGTGGCAGGGGTAGTTCTGATGATGAGATGGACAGCAGAAGCTACTGCTCGGATGATGATGCTGACGGTGACACTGAGGGTGACAGCCGCGGCTATTGCTCTGACGATGGTGACGGTGACACTGAGACCGACAGCAGAAGATACTGCTCCACCTCCTCCTCTGCCGGACAACACCAACACCAACGCCACCACCAACACCAACACCAACACCAGCACCAACACCAGCACCAACACCAACACCAACACCAGCACCAACACCACCACCAACACCAACACCAACACCAGCATGAACGACACCATTTCACCTCTCCTTCCCGCACCCTCCCCACCCACCCTCATCCCTCCACCCTCCTCACCTCCCCCAGACCCCACCTCCCATCCCCCAACCACCCATCTCCCCACCAAGCCCGAACCCCTCCCACCCACCTCACCTACCCCTCCACCCTCCTCTCCTCTCCCAAACCCCTCCTCCCAGCCCCTCGCACCTCTCCCACCACCATCACCTACCCAGACGCCCTCCTCCTCTTCCGCTTCACTCACCCACACCTCCCCGCCGCCCTCGCTGACGTCATCACCACCGACCAGCGCCTGCTCCACCAATTAGAATCCGGCCTACCCGCATGGGCCGTTTTCCTCCAATCCTGCGCCGGCCTCTCGGCCCTCTACCGCCCCTGGATGCGCCCGCTCGTCGCGTACGCGTGCTTTATAGTCTCCCTCGTTACAGTCCTCATTGGATTCTATGACCTGTATAAGAACATCCCGGTGCTACAGGAAATGCTGGCGCGGATGCTGGGGCCAATATGGGCAGTAGTGGGTACATGGGACATGGGAACAAGACTAAGATACCTGGGAACGATTCTCTTTCTGCAGAACTGGGAGCGAGCATTCAAATGGTTATCCTCTGCCTGGAAATTCGTCTCACACGCGCTTTCCCTCCTCTCCTACCTCCTCTCTCTCCTCCTCAGACCCTTCCAGCACCCCTGCTCTCTCCTCTCACACACCGTCCTCCTTTGCCTCTCCAAACTCCTCTCCACCGCATGGAACCTCTTATCCGCCCTTGGAAAGCTGGTTACCAGCAGTGGGCGGTTACTCAGCTACGCCCTGCGTCCCCTGGTGGCTGCTGGGGCAGCACGCACTCGTCCCCGTGTGGCAGTTGCTACATGCATGCTACCTAGCTGTATACACCACTGGAGCAACCATCTCCAACGGCTGTTTGCTGCTCTATCGGCTCCTCTCACAGGCCTACAGCTGCTCCGTGCTGAAACTTGCACATCTGCTGTCGGCAGTGGTGTCTTCTCGCCTCTCCTTCCTGTACAGCAACTGCCTGCTGCTGTATCGGATTCTCTCGCAAGCATGCAGCAGCAGCATGTGGAGAGTGTCTCAGCTGCTGTCGGCTCAGCTGTCTTTTGTGTATACTCGAGTTTTGCTGCTGGGCCGGCTGCTCGGGGTGCTTGTTCAGCCGCTGCTGCTCCTTGCGCGTACTCTCTGGGCTGTAGGTGAGAGATGAAAAAATATTCAGAATGTAACCTGTCCCGGTGCACCGTGTTTTGTTTGCCGTGTTTCATGCACCGTGTTTCATCCGTGTCTAACGTCCTTACTCCAATACCATCTCGCTACACCTTTTGTATCTCTCTAAAACCCTCGTGCAACCATTTACATACTCCCTAAAAGCCCTCTCTTTTACTTTCGCTTACGGCTATAAATCCGTGGCAAATATCTTCTCCTATATCTCCAAGGCTGTTACCTCTTCGCTGCGACTGGTCGGAGGGGCTCGGAAACTAGGCTCGGCAACCAAGGCAGTGGGGCAGCAGATCTCTGCTGCAAGTTCGGCAGTCGGGCAGGTTTCCGCAGCTGCTGGTTCGGCGGTGGCTCGGTCGCCGCCCTCCTCCCTGCTGCAGCTGTGGCATAACCTCTTCCAGAAGGTGGGTTTACCAGAGACGTTGAAAACTCAGGGACTGTTTGTTTTAATGCCTTCCACCCAACCCGAATGATGGGGCATTTGAACGGCTTCTTTAGCCTGTTTGGCAGTCAATGGACGCGTGCTACAACCAGCATTACACCACTGCTACTCTCCAACACTCCCTCTTTCTTTCCTCTCTCTATCTCCTGCTCTCTCTTCTCTGTCTCCCGCTCCCCCCTTCTCCGCTCTCCACAGTTGTTCCGAGCCATCATGTGGATCTTCAAGGGCGTGGGCTCCTTCGTAGCTGCTGCTAACAGACATCGCCTCAGGTATTGCCCCTTCAGTCAAATCTTGCTTTCCGCCTGGGAGGAAATAAAACAACATTTTCTTTCCTTCTCAGTCTTCCTCTCCTTCCCTTTCCCTCTCCCTTCCCTCTTCCTCTCCCTTCTCTCTCCCTCTCCCTCTCCCTCTCCCTTCCCTCTCCCTCTCCGTCTCCCGCTCCCTCTTCCTCTCCCTCTCCCTCTCCCCTCTCTCTCCATCTCTCGCACTCTTGTTCTAGCTCTTGGTCTTGCTCTCTTCCAATGCTGCTGCGAGCACACACCAGCTCTGGTGGCTGTTGCGTCAAGATCTGCAAGTGGTGGCACAGCCGCATGGCACGGCCGCATGGCATGATGCATGGCACAATAAGCTCTCTCAGTTGCACAGGCTACCACCTCGTCGCTACCCGGACAGGGAGCATGGACAGACGGATTGCCATCTCGCCTTCCACCCCACATCCCACCTCCTCAGCAGCACGCAGCACTATGTATGTGCTATCCCAGGCGCGCAGGCTTCAAGCCCACCTCTTCCAAGCCGCTCACCACCCCCACGCAACACCGCTGAAGCGTCTCATATGTAGCCCCCACCGCCTCTCTTCCCCCTCTTCCCCACCTTCCCCCCCACCAGCACGCGGCACTACGTGCTTTCCCAGGCGCGCAAGCTGCAAGCCCGGGCTCTGCAAGCCGCTCAGAGCGGCCAGTCAACAATGCTCAAGTTTGGCCGCAAGCTGCTTGCTCCCCGACGCGTTCCGACGGCACCACCACCTCCAGAAATCTCGGCTTCGGCTACGACCACGCCTCGAGAGATTCTGGTTGCTGCCCGGCCAGGGGAAACTGCCCGAGTGGAGAATTGGGAGGAGGAGGAGCAGGAGGGGAGAGGAGGGGGAGTTCCAGGGGTTGTTGTCACTCGTGAAGGGGCTGAGGAGGAGTTCTGGGATGCCCCAGCGAGCATCTCTGATGGGGCACCTGATGAGGGTTGTGAGGAGGAATCTGATTCCGAATGGGACAAGTTTGATAAAGAGGATGAGGAGGATAATGAGGATACAAAGGCTTATGGAGATCATCAGGAGGTGGAGGAGGAGGAGGAGGAGGAGGAGGAGGAGGAGGAGGAGGAGGAGGAGGAGGAGGAGGAGGAGGAGGAGGAGGAGGAGGAGGAGGAGGAGGAGGAGGAGGAGGAGGAGGAGGAGGAGGTGTTTGGGGATGCTCGGAGCAATGCACTCGAAAACGTCTATCATGGAGAGGCCTGGGATGATTAGAGGTATGGGTTATTTTTACAGGTTGCCATGATGGGCTTCTTTCTTCAGAATGATTTGTTTTCCAAAATGCCTCCGATGAAGAGGCCTCTGACGACAAGGTATAGGCTTTCGAGTGCTGGTTGCAGTTGTGGAATTGTCTCTTGGACGCGGCTTTCGGAAATGGGTACGTTGCTGCGCATACAAGCATTCTTCTCTGGTGCAATCGTTTGTTCTCCCTCCCTCTTCGCCCTTTTACTCCTCCACGATGCTTATCCCACTTGCTCTATCTATCCATCTTCCCTGTTCCCCACCCTCCTGTTTGACGACTGTTGATCTTTCCTTTCCTCCCACCCTGGACAGTCCCTTTTTCTTTATTTTCTTTCCTTTTCCACCCCCGTCTCTCAGCTCAGTCACAGTCCGACACTACAAATGCCTTATGATTCCGTTCCCCCATCCGTCTCCCTCCATCCTTCTCCCTCCATCCGCTGGGTCTACCTTTCCAAACTGAATGTATAGCATTGTCCTGTGCTTTCATTGCCCATTGCCCTCATTCCCCTAGGTGCTTTCCCTCACCCCCATCCCTGTTCCCCACTTCTTTCGTGTTTGCGTTGTCTGAATTTTTGTTTTGGGTCGGAAGAAAGATCCTCTGCGCAGGAAAAACAGTGCATGAAACTGGACCTCAACAGCTACACTTTTTAAGGCGTTCTGCTGGTGTCTGGTTTGTGCAATCAAGGCAGGAGGAACATGCTCTACGCTCAATCGTTACAGCTCAGTAAGCAAGCAACAATTGCATCACTAGCAGATTTTTCGTAACTTACTATGAACGGCCTTTCATTTGTTCATGAATGCATTCATTTCTCATCGCCTGTCTTCCAGGTTTCAAGCACTAGCCCGAGACCCTAATGGCAACATAAAATATCCCGCAGTATTGTCTCATCTTAGAGCAATTTGGACCTGGAATTATGAAAATAACACTTCACAGCTACCAATTCTGGCATTTTTTACACTGAACTGTGTTCAGGTTTGACAACCCTGTATCAGTTATGTATATGAGAATTGTAATGTACAGAACCGTTATATTCCAACCGTCGTTGCTACTCACGCGTCACGGTGGTGCTGGAAGTCGTGGCGGTGATACCAATCAGTGGTGGCGTCCATAGTCCAAGGAGACGCGCTGGTTCTGGTGGGTGGTCCTACCGCCCAATTAAATCTGCCGTTTACAGGTCGCCGCGTGGATTCTCGGAGAAGCCAAACGAATGACGTCCAGATGCGTCGCTACGTTGTCAATCCCGTGATGACCACGTCGGCCAATCGCATCCACAGCGTTCCACCGACGTGTCCACCCACAACGATGAAGTTTTCGATACCCTGTACTTTCCACGAAGCAATTCATTGGTGCATCGCTGGTGACGTTTCGCTTCGCCAACGAAAGCAGGGAAGTCAACCGCGCTTCTCGGAGTCGGGGGGGCGGGGGGCATTGGGCAATCAACAACCTACTGTCCGAAATGTCCCCAACAACCCACTGTCCGCCACGGATATCAGCCGACGGCATCCCGCTCCGCCAGACGCGGAACAATCTCAACTCAAACTCTCTATGAGCGCGTGCCGGCCACTATCTCCACTTCCTGAGCACGTGGTCTTCCACTGTAGACCGCGACACTTCAGCAAGCATCGGCTGACCTGGCTCGCGATAATTCGCTGTGCAATATTCGCTTTGGCGGGAACATTGCCTTGAGCCTGCTCCTTGTCCCTCAAACACACCTGCAAGGTGTGCCCTAAACGTGTTTCTGGAGAATCCCTTTCGGCCTCCTCACCCTGTCCAGCTTGCTGAAACGTTTTTGCTTCATGGCTGCTTTTCGCTGGTGTGGTCCCAGCGCTCAGGCCATTCCGCCGCAGTGGGGAGCAATGGAGCCTGGAGAGTTGAGAGGTGTGGTCAGGCTCCTAGGGTTTGCAGGAAAGTCATTTCATTGTTCAGGTTGCAGTAATTGTTGGATAGATAAGAGGTCGGTCTCCATACCAGCATTCATCCCAAGTCTCTTACCTCCGTCTGCTTGTTCATGCTTACTTCGCTCTATTGGTCAAGTCTCTCAGAACTCCGGTGATCAGAACAGACAGCCATGGCCGCCACCGCCACCCTACCTCAGACCTCGTTCCTAGTCGGAGCTAAAAGCTCATCATCAAGATCACGCAAACTCTCACAGGTGTCCCTTCAACCTAAGAAAGGCTCGCTTCTGCCTGGTTTGAAGGCTCAGTCAAGTGGTAGGAAGCAACCAGCAGTGCGAATGGAGAGCGCATCCGTATTGGCATACCAGAGCTCCAACGCTTCGGATCAAGTCGAGAGTTGGAGTGAACCTTCTATGGTGTCCACGGCCGTTACGCAACAGAAGATTGAATCGTGGCTTCAACACTCCGCTGCCGATGTAAGCTTCGCGTGAACCATGTTCTCGTTTCTGTTTCGTCTAAACGAATGTGTCTTTACTACATCTACAGCATATGTTGGAATTTTACATGAATCTTCGGAATCTGAATCTTTAACTTTTCTGTTATTTTTCAGATTATTCGACATCTCGACGAGGCTCCTTTTTTCCATCTCATATTCGATGGCGTCCGTGGCTTCCGATCTCCCGTTAGACAGCGGCTTCCGCAGGGTATTGTTGATCACACTGACAGCTGGTCGACCGTAAGACAAGCAGTTCAGAACGACGATCCAGATGGTCTCATTTTGGTTCACCGGCTCGATGAGAGCGATCTTTCCAAGAGATACGGTCAGGAGCTTTCCGGAGAGCTAGATGAGGTGGCACCTCCGTCTAATCCTTGCCAGACAAACGTGTGGGGGTTGGTGGTGTTGGGAAGAGCCAGCCACCGGCATGCCTGCTACATACTCAAGACAACACGTTGCCCCGCGGCTTCATCGCTATCTGCGACACGGTTTTCCATTACAAGAGCCAAGTGCTTTGGCGCTTCCGTGCACAAGCAGCTGGAACAGGCATGGTTGAACAACTAGCTAGATCTGACACCCTGTTTTGTAGGTAGTGTAAGTATGTATATTTTAGCCATTATTATCTCCGTAAGCTTTCTCCCAGTGCTATGTCCTAACGTTAGTAAGATATTTGGATGCCGTAAGGTGCATTCCTAGCTTCGGGACATCCGTGGTTTGGGTCCAACGAAAAATTGGTAGGCAATCGGATAACCCTGTATCCTATCTGACATGTTTATATTCGAGCTCCCTTGCTCGACTCATTTTGTACAAATTATTTTAGTAGCTCGAAACTCATATAATGACCCATGTAACATTTTGAAAAAAAAAAAAACCCCTCGTAGAATCAGCAAGATTCAATAGAAGCACCACTAACAACAAATTTCTCCTTTCGGTGGAAATTTTCCCATTCAGCGCCGTTCACGCTCCGTCGTATCAGCAATGCAGAACTCCGCGTGCGCCTCGGCCGCAAGCGGTTCGCACCGGAAATTCCCTTCCCTTTCCATTCCAACTGCCAGGCCAAGCAAGCGAGCCCCTCGAACATATAAATTCAGCTCCAACCACAATATTCGACATCAACAGCTACACTTGTCAAGTACACTCGATCCACCTCTCTGCTCTTATCTTCAGTGCTCCTGCAAGCCAGCATCCTCTCACACATCAGCTTCTCGGAGGCCTGTCTTAGCTCGCTCGCAGCTTTCGCATCGCATCGCTCTACTCGGACGATCATGGCTCGCTGTGCAGCTCCTGCTGTAACCCTCATAGCACTTCTCGTCACAGGTGCGAATCGTTGATACTATCAACCTAGATTTATTTGCTTAGCCGCTGTGCATGCCTGCAGCTACATATTTCCCTTTCGCTTATCTTCGTTGTTCTTTTCCTGATTTTCTTTGGACATGCAGTGATTCTCGCTGAAGGAATAGATGCAAGATTTCTTCCCGCCAACCGCCTTCCAACAAACCTCAAGCCATCCGAAGTAGCCGCCAAAGCAGCCGCCGCGGACTCAGCAGCTGCCGCAGCCGCAGCAAAATCAGCTTCCGCAGCAGCCGCAAACATAAACGCCAGCCCCGCATCCCTCAACTCGAGCATTTCCGACTTCGTGTCGTCCCTCAATGCCTCTATTTCCAGCCTCGTGTCTTCTCTCAACAGCAGCGCGGCCGCTATCGAGACCGCGCTGCAGGCGCAGGTATCCGCGTTAAACGCCAGCCTCGCCGCGCTTAGCGACAGCCTCGCCCACCTCAACTTCACATTCGCCAGAGCCAATATCTCGTCCGAATCGGCGTCACCTTCATTAGCGCCGCTTCTGGCGGCCTTGAAGTCTCAGCTTTCGGCTGTCGAGTCGAAGCTGTCTGCCGACGGTTTGAAGAAGAGCATGGATGCGATTGCACAGGACCTAGCGGAATTCGCAGCAGCGGGGTCCGGGGGGGCGCAATCGACGCTCGTGGCGGGAACACAGCCGCTTTCAACAGTGGGGACTTCTGGCGCGGCGGCCGTCGTCCCTGCCGGCGAGTTGGCGAGGCAGATCTCCGATCCGCTCGCGCCGAGGGCGCAGCCCCTCTCGACGGTGGGGACTTCTTCTGGTGCGGCGTCCGGCGTCCCTGCCGCCGCGGAGTTGGCGACGCGGATCTCCGATCTGACGCAGCGACTTGCGGGAATCAACAGGAACGTCAACGCGCTCGCGGGGATGGTGAAAGTTGTTGCTAGCGGGGTTGCTAACGGCGTGAACGGAGTCCTCGGTAGCGGTGTGGACGGCAGCGTGGTGGCGAATGTCGCAAATCTTCTGCCCCAGCAGGCAGGCATGCTGCGCGCCGTGCTGACGTCATGCAACGGCCTGCTGTCTCTCCAAGCCGGCGCTGCTGATATTCAGATTCTTAAGATGTGAGTCACTCGCGTTGACTCGTGTTGACTCGTCTTGACCCCATCGTCCAACATTTCCCTCTCCCTAACAGGCTTTCTCCTTGCGCTTCGCTTTCTCATCGTTTTTCTTCAGCATCTGCGGTCAATGCTGGTTCAAACCGCAATATCTCATCCCTCCCTTACCTCTCGGTTGCCTGTGAACTCCTCCCATGCAGTGGCTCGGACTACATGATTACATACTACTTTTACGTAGCAGGAATGACCAATGCGCCGGACTCTCAGGCCATTTTCAAGGGCAACCCTTGCAACTCTGTTACCACTGTACCCCTCACCCTCCCTGGCACGTGGGTGCCTATGAGCCCTGTGACCTGGTCGCTGGTGAATGTTGTGAGGGCGTCAGCTGCTGATGTGGCGGATCTGTTGGCATCTCTCCAAGGAGTCACCAATGACAGGCTGTATGTTGGATTCTTTGGGGCTGGTGTAGCACTCTCAGGGAAGATTATTGGGGGAAAGTTGTGAAGGTAGGGCAATGGTAGGAACATTTTAGATGCTTCATCCCTCCAGTGATCTGTCATGAGGTGTTGCATCTGTCATGTTCCAACCAGTGCGTAGAAATTGTGTATACGCAAGACAAGGAGAATTTAGATCGAGGATCTCTTGCCAATGACATTTGAGATAGAAGTGTATTACTGCTTATTTAAATGAATGCAGCAATATGCTTTCAAAGTTCCCTATGAGAAGGTGTACATTATGTCGAAGCTGCGGTCTACATACCAAAGGGTATTTTCTGGGGGTATTTCGGGTGCACACCCTAAGACGCAGTCTGATTTGCACACGAAATTCAGAAATGAGAGCGCGAAGGATTCAAACACAACTGGCAAATCCCGCCAGTTTCGTACAAGGTTTGGTTGGGGGGGTACTTTTTCGTGAGGTTGGGGTTGTGGTGGCGATTTCGCCACAACCTGCAACCAATCGAGGTTGGGGGGTAGATTGGCGCGAAATTTGTAAGCCAATCCTGAGAAGGCCAACTTTCAGAGGGGGGGTTGGGTTGTCAGAAAGCAGTAACTGCACCTCGCCACCCAAGCATGGAGCGAAGCCCGCCCCGGGGCAGGACGGCTTGCCGAAAGATTTTTTCGAAAGAAATTGGGAGCTGTTGGGCCCGGCGGTGATGAGGGAAGTCAGGATTTTCGAATCAGCGGGTGTGCTTTCGGAGTCCTTCACGACGGCGGTTACGATACTTCTGCACAAAAAAGGAGACAGGGATGATGTGGGAAAATACCGGCCGATTACATTATTGAGCTTCTTCTACAAACTACTGGCGAAGGTTTTGGCGAATCGTATCAAGGTGGTCTTACCGAGAGTGATCTCCAGCAATCAGTTCGGTTTTCTTCCGGGAAGGAGCCTCGCTGACGCTGTCTCTCTGGTAGCGGATGTGATCGACGCTGCGGAGCAGGAGGACGAGGACTGGTTGTTGTTGTTGGTCGATTTTCAGAAAGCTTACGATTCGGTATCACGGGAATACCTCTTCACGACGCTGGACAACATGGGCTTCCCGGGGAAGTTCACAAGATGGGTGAAGGGTCTTCACGACGGAGCGGCGACGAAGGTGCTGTTGAATGGCTGGATTGGAGAACGGGTGGAGATGGCCAAAGGGGTACGTCAAGGCTGTCCGCTTGCCCCATATCTCTTCCTCTGCGCGGTTGAGCCACTCTGCCAAGAAATAGAACGGAGGAAACTGGGGGTCAAGAAGAGAGGTGTGCAAGGGAGCCTAGACTACATTAGGTATGCAGACGACACGACACTGGTACTGAAGGGCAAGGAGCAGGTGGCGGTTGCTGAGAAACTACTGGGGGAGTTCGCGGAGATCTCAGGGTTGAAGGTGAACCGCGATAAGACCACACTAATGCCGCTGGGAAAAAATCGAAGGAGGCTGCAGCCGATAGCGTCGTCTTTCAAGTGGGCGGATAAGAACACGTCTGAAAGGTTGCTCGGAATCTGGATCACCTCTGGAGGCTCACCGGGACCTGCATGGGACAAGGCTTTTGAAAAAGTTAGCGCGGTGTTGAGCTGCTGGGAGACTAAACATCTCAAAACCTCGGCACGGGTTACAATCATTAACAATTATGCGATGCCGATCCTGCTCTTCCAGGCGCAGATCTACGCCCCACCATACGAGGTCTGGACTAAAGTGAAGAGGCTTTGTCACAATTTCATCTCGGGAGGGAAGGCGCTCCTCGACAGGCACTTCACGCTGTGGAGCTACGAACTGTCGTGCAGAGGACGGAAAGAGGGAGGCCTGGGTGTGATTGATCTGAAGCACCGGATTGACAGCATGGTGATTCAAGGATTGGGGAAGGCCCTGGCGGAGCAGGAGCCACTTCGGAATTGGTTATGGGAGAGAGCGGCGGCTTTTCCCCTCGGCTTGGCCACAATCTACGCGCACCCTTCGGTCCTGAAGTCCTGGCTGGGGGGAGGAACGAGATGGAAAGCCACTATTAAAGCGTTGTGGGACTCAAAACTGGTGACCATAGGCGACCCGGCACACAGGTGGGACGCGGAGGAGGAGCAGCTACTCTTCAATCGCAATATTTTCTTCAGAGGCAGATCACCTTTTGGAAACCAGGCGGGTTCACTGAAGGGCATTCGACTGGGGGATTTGGTGGCGAAAGGAGGGGATGGCAGATCTCGTAAGAGTGAGGAGGTTCTGGAGAGGGAACTGGGAGGTGAGGAGCAGAGGAAATGGGCCCTGAAGGCGTGGGAGGCGGCGCCGCAGAGGTGGAAGGTTCTGGTACTCAACCAACTGTCTGCGGAGGAATTTTTCAGGGAAACAAGGCTGGTCCGCTCTGCGTCTTACCGGCCAGGAGTGTTCCTTTACTACCAGCTGCAGTATGTGAGCAACGGCGAACTATATGGTCGAAGAGTGACGGTGGACAAGAAAGGGAACATAGGTGAGGTGGAATATGCTAGCGTGGGAACGGTGGACTTTCGGCGCGTTTCACCCATGGCAGTCATAGACGGGAGGGCCCGCGGCTTACTCGGCGCTCTAAGAACGCGACTGCTTTTTTCCACAATATGTGAGAAAGGCGAGCGAGATGATCTAAAGAAGCTGAGGAAGGCGATGAAACCTTCGGTGACGCAACCGAAACAGCAGCTCAAGTGGGAAGAGGAGCTGGGGAGGAAGATCGGCTGGGGGAAGGCCATCATGGTCCATGCAGGGCACGGGAAGTAATACTGAGGGTGCACAGTAACAACCTCCAGGTGGGAGAACGGCTCCCTTTCTTGGGCGCGAGGGCGAAATGCACGTACTGTGGTGGAGTGGAATCGCAGGATCACTGCCTTTTCAGCTGCCCGAGGATCCAACCTGTGGTGGGGGTGATGAGGGAAGCGGTTCAGTGTATGAATCCGGGCAGAGACATGCGATCTCTCGGTGACATGCTCTTCCAAAGGAGTGGCACGTCAACAGGCTTCCCTGAGGCGGCAATCATATCCATAACAGCGCATCAAGTTTGGCTGGAGAGGTGTAACGCGGTTTTCCGCGGTAGCCGTTTCCAACCAAAGAGAGCATTGAGGCGCATAGCGGTTGGCTTCACGAGGCACGTGAAGATCTACAGCAGAGCGCGGAAGAAAACGGCTGGCAGAAATGCCTCGGAAAGGACGGGTGACTGGAGCCACCTGAATGCTGACGAAGCAGGTGCTATGCGCAGGCAAAACGAGACAGAGGCCTCGATGACGTGGAGAGCGGGTTTTAAGGCGATCTGGGAAGATGGCGGTGTAGCTTTCCAACCTCCTTAAAAGGATAAGGGGGGCTCTGGTTACCTGTGTGCTTGTAGCCTCTACATGCCCTCCTAGCAACAGTTACGACTGCGGATGTATGTATGCTGGTAGTGTACTTATATCCACCAAAAAAAAAAAAAAAAAAAAAAAAAAAAAAGGAGCGAAGCCCTGTGCTACCTGGTTTTCAAGTGATAAACCAGGTCCTCCCGCAGGAGGTATGTAGGCGACAGCTTTTGAGTGGGAAATTGTGCGTGTGGGCTGGAGGAGCAAAGTTGATTCTGTATTGACACGTCACATGACACAAGGTAGGTGGCCCCTCCCGCCAGCATTTTCCGTACCACAGCATTTCATGCTCCGACACAGAACCGCTACTTCCGCCAGCAGCACCGCACCCGCCTCCTCCGACAAACCTCAGCAGCAGCCTACCCCTTCACAGCACCGCCCCAGCCTCTCCGCGTGCGACTTGATGGGAGGGAATCGACCAATCGACGCGCACAATCCGCGGTCCGCGCTGAATTTCCCGAAATTTCTTGTTTCAAGTTTCTGCGCATCTGGGAACTCATGCAGTCTTTTGGAACTTGTATAAATCGAACAGCAGGAAGCAATCGAGCATCGACTCTCAAACGCACAGCTATCTCAAGCACCGCACTACCTCAAACACTGATAACTGCACCTCTTGTTCACATTTTCGTTTCGATATTGTTTATAAAGAAAAAACGCCTGCCTGAGCTCTCCTACCAGTTAGCACTCGATCTTCAACCCGACAAGTAGTAGCTCGACAACCATCATGGCACGCACTGCAGCTCCTTCCACGCTACTAGGACTTGTCGCTCTGGTCGTCACAGGTGAGCCACTTCGCCAAGCCGTGCTTATCAGCACCAAACAGCATCTCTTCTCGCGTTGAACACGCAAAGAATCTCTATTTGTATTTTCTGTTGCACTTCATCCCCCGAAACTCATTTTCTCCTCACATTTCAATACTTGCAGTGCTTTTGGCAACGCAAGGAGCTGAAGCAGGCCGGTTTCTTCCCAGCGTCGGCAGTAATCCCACCAACCGCCTTCCACCCGGCTTGAATTCCGCCATCGCGGCGGCAGCTGCAGCAGCCAGCAGCAGCAACCCCGCAGCGGCCCTCAAATCGACGCTCTCGGGCCTCCAGTCGTCCCTCAACGGCCAGATCGCGTCTCTCGACGCGCCTCTCAAGAAATCGCTCGATCGAATCTCGGCGGCTCTCAAAAGCAGCCCGTCAGCTGCAGACGACGCGCTCCAGGCGCAGATATCCGCGCTAAAAGCAAACCTCGCTGCTTTGAACGCGAGTCTCGCGAATCTGAACGCGCTGAACACCTCAGGCTCGCCGAATCTGAACTTCACGGATCTGATTTCCCAAATTTCTGGAATTCAATCCAACATTTCCTCCATCAGCACCGGCATCGCCGCTCTGAACAAGGACCTGGCTGGGATATTCGGCTCGGGCGTAGGCTCGGGCTCAGGCTTGGGCGCAGGCTTGGCGGGTGCAATTCGTCCAGCAGCCGGGGCGGCTTCCGCGAGTGGGAGCGCGGCGATCCGCGCGGCGGTGAGGCAGCGGCTGGCGGCTGTGACGCAGCGAGTGGCGGGGCTCAACGGGAACGTGTCCGCGCTCGCCGATTTGCTCAACGCCTTGAACGGCGCTCTTACTAACGGCGCCTTGAATGGTGGCGATTTGAATGGCGCTTTGAACGGAGCTTTGAGCGGCAGCGTGGTGGGGAATCTCGCGAATCTTCTGCCCCAGCAGGCAGGCATGCTCCGTGCCGTGCTGACGTCATGCAAGGGTCTGCTGTCTCTTCAGGCCGGCGCTGCTGACATTCAGATCATGAAGATGTAAGCGACTCGCGTTGACTCATGTTGAACCGTGTTGACTAATCGTGTCGTGTCATTGCCCATAATTTCCCTCTCTCCACCAGGCTTCCCCACTTTATTCCGTCCCTTTAGCAGCCAATGCTGGTTCAAACCGCCCGGTATCTCATGCTCACTTTCTCCCATTCCTCCTCTCTGTTGCCTCTTCCTTCCTCCAATGCAGTGGCTCGGACTATCTACTCACATACTACCTGTACGCAGCAGGAGTGACCAAGGCCCCGGACTCGCAGGCCATCTTCAAGGGCAACGCCTGCAGCACCGCTGCTGCTTCAGCAGCCCTCGCCCTGCCTGGCACGTGGGTGCCCATGAGCCCGGTGTCCTGGTCGCTGGCCAATGTCGTCAGGGCGTCCGCTGCTGACGTGGCGGATGTGTTGGCGTCCATTCAGGGGATCACCAATGATGACCTGTACCTCGGATTCTCCGGTGCTGACGGGGCGCTTTCAGGGAGAGTGATCGGTGGGAGGGTGTGAGTGGAACAGGGGCCAGTCTATGATGCTGAAGCTGGTGGTGGGGGAACATTGCAGAAGCACCACTCATGCATGCACCTACACAAGTAAGCACGTGCAGCTACGTTAGGTAAAAGTAGTACATTAGGCTGTAGAGTGAATGCTTCTGTAATGTTCCATCCATTAAGAGTTTATTCAATGAGCATGAATCTACTCAACAGCTGCAAGAACCACAAGTGCACTTCTTGTGGAGGTACGGTAGGGAGGATTTCCGAGGCTCCTTAAACAGTATGCTTGGTATTCACATCAGCAAGTAACAGCAGGTCCTAACAATGAGTGGTGTAAGCAGCAGCCCCCCCCACCACTTGTACTGTACGTCCCTTCCACAGACCCAGCCTGCCACCCTCCTAACTCCACCGTTTCTGTGCCTTTATTGCCCCCTTCCCTGAACGACCAACATCATCTTTCAAAAACTGCCCGAAAGCCTTCTCCTCCACTCACTTCCCAACCTCCTGATGATTGCCAGAAGCCAAACCGCGGTCGCTTTGCGTCAGCCCATCTTCCCTAGAGCTCCTACAGCAGTTCGTGCTAGCCAGGCAGAACACCGTGTCTGCCTGTTAGTCAGTCTGCTGAGCTGTCAAAAGAGGACAGGTGGGCTGCGAAGGCCTTACTTCCATCAACTCGTGTTGTATTAGGACAACGAGGACAGGTGAGCTCCTACAGCAGCTCATACAGCAGTTCGTGCCAGGCAGAACACCGTGTCTGCCTGTTAGTCAGTCCGCTGAGCTAATAGCAGTGACCACCCCAACCACCCTCCCCCCTTTCCCATCCCTCCCTAAAACCCCGAGTAAAACCCCAGTCAACCCCTGGTCAACCCATGGTCAACCCCCAGTCAGTGGTCAGTGGAGCTGCCAGCCATGCTGGTCCAACTGCACCAGCAATGCCGTTGCCAACAGTCGTTCGTTTGTCCGCGTCTAGCGCCACGCAATCCAGTCATCCTTTTGAACCCTCCTTCCAGACCTCCTTCCGAACCTTCTTCTAGACCTCCTTCGGAACCTTCTTCCAGACCTCCTTCCGAATCTTCTTCAAGACCTCCTTCCAAACCTCCTTCAAGACCTCCTTCCGAACCTCCTTTGAGACCTCCTTCCCAACTTCCACTTCAACTTGCTCAGCCTCTCCAGCCTCGCAATAGTGGAACATAATCAAGATGTTGAGCGTTACCCGAAGCACCCCATTCCCTGCAATCACCACTCCCGGCTCCAGCACCACTCCGCCTCCGCAGTCCACCACCACACTACCCTCCCCCTGCCACAGCCTCCGATCCCCTTCCCCCCTTCCCCCTTTGCCCCTTTTCCCCCTGAACCAAGAGACAAGGATCAGATGTTGAGTGTGGTTCGCAGCATGAAGGCAGTATGAACGCCCAGCTCCCCATTCCCTGCAATTACCACTCCCAGCTCCAGCACCACTCCGCCTCCGCAGTCCACCACCACACTCCCCTCCCCCTGTCACAGCCTCCGCGCGCCTTCCCCCTTTCCCCCTTCCCCCTTTCCCCCTTGCCCCTTTTCCCCCTTGATCAAGAGACAAGGATCAGATGTTGAGTGTGGTTCGCAGCATGAAGGCAGTATGAACTCCCAGCACCCCATTCCCCGCAATCACCACCCCCGGTTCAAGCACCACTCCGCCTCCGCAGTCCACTACCACACTCCCCTCCCCCTGCCACAGCCTCCGCGCCCCGCCCCCCTTTCCCCCTCCCCCTATCGACACCTCACTGCTCTCCACCAAATCCGGGGGTAAACCACCCTCTGGTACCCCCTGACCAACACTCACCCTGTACCCAACTACCCTCGCCGCTCTCACCCCTCCTCCTTCCCCTCCTCCTCCCCCTCCCCCTCCTCTCTCCTTTTTCCGTACTCTCTCCCCCTCCTCTTCCCCTGCTGCTCTTCCCGTTACAGCCACCGCCCACTGCCAATCCGCGCCCAGTCTCCCCAGAAATCCCTCTTCCGCCTCCTCTCCCCCCCTTCCGCCTCCCCCTGCCGCCACTCCGCCCCCATACTCCCCCGCCCACCTAGACTGCTGCGCCCACGCGGAAACAGTTGTTCCCCCTTGAAGCTCCTTCTCAAAAGCCAGCGCAACGCCAAAAGACTCTGGTCTGCTCTCGTTATAGTCACCCATGTCCATCAGCCACGCGCTCGTGGCATCAATACTGTCACCCGCGCCCTCCAGCACGTTCCCGCTTCCCCCTATACCACTCATGCCTCCGCTTCCCCTTCCCGCGCCCCCGCCTCCGCTTCCGCCCCCTCCCCCGCCCCTCATACTTTCCACTACTATTCTATCCACTCCCCCACTGGCGCAACTCCGCGGGGACTCCGCGCCCAAACCGCTTCCCCCGAATCTTCCGCCCATCGCTCCCCCTTCTGTTGTCGACCCCGCTTCCGCCACCACCTGCATTCCCCCCCTCGCGCCCCCGCCGCGCGGGTGTGGGCTGCGGAAGATTCCCCCCAGCCGCGGAAGCACCAGGGGGCCCATTTCTGACCAGTGCAGTCCGGGGAAGGACGGCGCGGGCGGCGCGGGCCACGAGTGCGACGCGGCGGCTGCGGAAACGCGCAGGGTGGGGGAAAAGCGGAGCGCAAGATGCCCCATGGCGGAGGTGCAGAGCGCAGTATCCGCCGCGGCGGCGGCGAGCGCGGAAGGATCTTCCAGCGGAACCCCCCACCCCGCGACTAGCTTCCCCGCAGTAAACGACAGCGCGGGCGGATCCGCGGAAGCGGAGCGGGAGGAGGGGCGGAGGGGAGTGTACGGGGAGTGGCGCGAGGAGCGGAGGCCCAGGGCGCGGGCGATGGATGGAGGAAGCGCGCGCGGAATGGCGGAAAGAGCGCGGGAGACCGCGGGCAGGAAGGGGGAAAGCGCGGGGACGGGCGTGTCGACGGTTACCGCGAGGGCGGACCCGCGGATGGATTGGAGGAGCGGAATCGTGCCGCTGCTGAACGTGGTGAGGCCACGTGGCTGCGCCCAATAGGAAGACATGAAGGCAGGGAAGAACAGGGAAAGAGGCTTGATTTAGACAAGGATAATGAGGAGAGAGAGAAAAGAGGATGTCAAACGATGAAAAACGAGGAAGGAGGTTAAACAAGGATATCAAAACCGATAACTGATAGAATTCAGAAACACGTAGGTGCCTGCTAGTCTGCGTACCTGATTCGATGCGCTATCTCCGCGCACTCCCGCTCCCGCGGAGCCTTCGCCCACCAGGTCCGCTCCGCTTGCGCCCATCGGCGCGGCGGTCACCGCCAACCCTTCCGCCACCTGCGCCCTATACACCGCCTTCTGCAGCACTACCGGGCCGCCTAGCGCTAATGCCGGGCCTAGCGGGTCCGGCGGCCCGACTCCTAGAACGGTACTAAGGCGGTCCGACGACCGGCAGAGGGACGCGAGATTTAAAGCCATCTGCACGCCGGAGCGCAGCCCCGCCGCTTCCATCGCGGCTCGGGAGCGGTGCGAGCGGAGGCCGCCTGTTGGGACGAGCGCGGACCCGACGGTGATGCGGCCCGAGACCTCGGTGCGGCCGGAGTTCGCGGCGAGGAACGCGGCGGGCGCGACGCGGTGCTGGCCGAGGGAGAACTCGTCCGCGAGGAGCTCGAGCCGCGTGAGCCTGTCGCGAAGGTGCAATAGGTCGCTGAACGACTCCCGTTGGAGGCGCCGCAGCGCGGAGACTTCGGAGCGGTGCGCGAGCGCGTCGTCTGAGGAACGCGCGTCGAGCACATTGAGAACCATCTCCGCAGTTTCCGCCATCAGCTGCCGCCGGCTCACCTGCTCCGACGCATGCAGCTGCTCCATACGCGATTGTAGCAGGGACTGTAACGAACACGTCAGCCAATCGCTCATCACCAGGAAACCCCCTGCCCCGCCCTTGCCGCCGTCTCTGCCGCCTCCCTGCTGCCGCCCCGCTCGCCGGGACGCGCTCAGCGCCGGACCGCCTCCCCAAAACCCGCCGCTGTTTCCGTCGGGAAGCGATCCCCCGTTAGCAGGATCGTACGACCCAGAAGCGGCCACGGAGGCGAGGGGCTGCCCGCCGAGGAAATAAGGCGGTGCGTTCTTATAAGGAGAGCCAGGACGGTGGGACGGCGTGCCGGGTCGATAACTGCCATCGTGCCGGCGTCGGCGAGGCGTTATCGGCGCTCGCGGGGAGCGCGGAGTGCGGGGAGTGCGCGGAGAGCGCGGTGACATGCTGCCATCGCCTCCGCTTCCCCATCCCCAGCCACTTCCGCCGCCGCCGCCGCCGCCACCGCCGCTCCCCGAATCATTCCGCCACGGGTCCCATGTGAACCCGCGCAAGCGGCCCGCGGGTCCGCCGCGCTTGGGTGCGCGCGAAAAGAGCGAGCCGCACCAGCCGACTTCCCCCTGGCCGTAGCGCCCCTGCCCGTTGCCGTCTCCCGCGCATTGGTCCGAGTCGTCCGCGATACTGTTTCGCCTCTCTAAACGACTTGAGCCAAACCTGTGGGCCATTTCTGTTAGTCGCGATTAAAAAATATGCGAAATGGTGAGTTAAGCAAAAAGCTAGACGGACTGTTAGACGTTGCGATAATGCTAGTCATGTTACCATTGTCGCAAATGCGCATTGGGCTAGCATTCGTGCGTGGATAACAATGCGTGTGAACAAAGAGTCCGGGAAATGCTCTTTCAGAAGTAGCTGGGCGCTGGTCAACTCTATGGCCGTAGTCCTGGACACCAGACTAAAACTTGACCTAACTTCGAGACTCAACTCGATTCAACCTAACTCCAACTCGCGCAAGCACAGCAGGTGTGACATGCTTTTGCCTCTGCTCAGTGCTCTCACTTCACTTCCCCATCTCCTCCCTCTTGCTCTCAAGAGCTTGACCTACGAATACACGATGTTGGTTGGAGGAGCCCTGGGCGGTGCCATTTCCACAGATCACAGCCCGTTTTCGCGCCATTTTTGTTTGGGGATGGGGGAAAATGCTGCTGCCCCCCCCTCACCAACTATTCGGGTAGGGGTGTGCTGTACTTGTCGCAAAATTTCGCCATTTGGTGGTTTGGGGCGAATGTCGCGAACACGAAAGTGAAGGAAAAAGTAACTCGAGGTCACGAAAATCTGATGGGAAGGAAGCTGCACTTCACGAAGCGCGCACGTCCAAGGACACTGGCTGGTTCCATTATTGTACTCACTTCGAGGTCGTGTGAGGCCAATATGAACACCTTAAACATTTAACTCTTGGTGACTCTAAAAAAAAAAAAAATCATTCTGGACTTCGGTAACTCGAGATTTCCCCTTGAACATAGACATGACACTTCCAGTTTTGATTCACTAAGGTTTGGGAAAATGCTTCGCATCACTGTGTTTTCCGAACATTTAAAGCGACGGGCAACTTTTGGCAGTGTTGGGTTCAGAAGTTTTTTTTTTGAACCAGGCTTGCCAGCGCGAAAGTGCTGGCTGGCGAAAACCAGGATTTCGTGCGGACACTTTCCATCCGCAGTAACAGTTCGCCAGGGTTCTGGGTTTTGGGTGGCAAATGTGCACCGTCGCTTTAAGAACGGTTGGGTAGGGTTTAGGGAAGAAAACTGAGCCTGTTACTCACCTGATTCCTTGTTCACATCCCATCCCACCCACCGTATTTTCCACAGCTGTCACTATGCTAGGAACGCTGTGAGCAGATTCTGTATCAGAACCATAAGCCACCATCCATAGCCATATCAGAACAACACCGCATGTGATATACGAGCTGAAATGCAGGAAGCTATCGAGTGCAATGACGTGAATCGGTCCTTATTCTCTTACTATGAAAGAGTGGTTCCGAAAGCTCATCAGGTCTCGGCTGCCTGGATTTCAAAGACTCTCACCCGCATAATCTCCCACTCCAGGCGCGTAGCTATCTAAATCCGATCCACCTGAATAATCTCCAAATTCTGGTGCGCTGCTGCCTGAATCCAGATTACCTGAATAATCTCTGAATGCAGGTGCATTGCTCCCTGCATCTAATCCACTCGCGAAATCTCCAAATTCAGGTGCGTAACTACCTGAATCTGATCCATCCGAATAATCTCCGAACCCAGGTGCGTTACTCCCTGAGTCTAATCCACCTGAAGAATCTCCGAATCCAGGTACGTTGCTCCCTAATTCCAAACCACCTGAAGAATCTCCAAAGCCAGGTGCGTAGCTTCCTGAACCTGATCCTCCTGGATAATATTCTGAACCAGGTGCATCCTCGGAGCTGGGAGCAGGCTCCAAATCAGGTGGGAAGTCTTCAATAGGTGTAACATACTCCGAGCCAGGAGCATACTCCGAGCCAGGAGCATACTCCGAGCCAGGTGCATACTCCGAGCCAGGAGCAGGAGCATAATCCGAGCCTGGAGCAGGAGCATATTCCGAGCCTGGAGCAGGAGCATATTCCGAGCATGGAGCAGCTTCTGAACCTGGAGCACCTTCCGACCCTGGAGCATCTGGCGCATCTTCTGAGCCTGGAGCGTATTCCGAACCTGGAGCATATTCCGAGCCTGGAGCATACTCCGAACCTGGAGCATCTTCCGAGCCTGGAGCATTTTCTGAACCTGGAGCTTCTTCCGAGCCTGGGGCATCTTCTGAACCTGGAGCATCTTCTGAGCTTGGAGCATTCTCTGAACCTGGAGATCCTTTCGAGCCTGGAGACTCTTCCGAGCCTGGAGCATTCTCTGAACCCGGAGCTTCTTCTGAGCCTGGAGCATTTTCTGAACCTGGAGCATTCTCCGAGCCTGGAGCATATTCTGAGCCTGGAGCATATTCCGAGCCTGGAGCCTCTTCCGAGCCTGGAGCATTTTCAGACCCTGGAGCATTTTCTGAGCCTGGAGCATTTTCAGAGCCTGGAGCATTTTCAGAGCCTGGAGCATTTTCTGAGGCTGGTGCATTAGTTGATCCCGGGGCACCGTTCGAACCTGGAGCAACCTGCGACCCAGGAGCTGCTTCTGAACCAGGAGCCAATTCCGAACCTTGCGCTGTTTCCGAGCCAGGTGCAACTTCCGAGCCTGGTGCATTTGCCGAGCCAGGTGCCCTGTTTGAACTGGGGGCAGCGGAGCTGGGGGCAGCAGGGCTGGGGGCAGCAGAGCTGGGGGCAGCAGAGCTCGGGGCAGCAGAGCTGGGGGCAGCATTGCTGGGAGGGGAAGAGCTTGGAGCAGCAGAACTAGGTGCGGCAGAACTAGGGGGGGCGAAACTAGGGGCGGCGGAACTTGGGGCGGCGGAACTTGGGGCGGCGGAACTTGGGGCGGCGAAACTAGGAGCGGCGAAACTAGGCGCTGCGGAACTAGGGGCGGCAGAACTAGGGGCGGCAAAACTAGGGGCGGCGGAACTAGGGGCGGCGGAACTAGGGGCGGCGGAACTAGGGGCAGCGGAACTAGGGGTGGCGGAACTAGGGGCGGCAGAACTAGGGGCGGCGATACTAGGGGCGGCAGAACTAGGGGCGGCAGAACTTGGGGCGGCAGAGCTTGGGGCGGCAGAGCTTGGGGCGGCAGAGCTGGGAGGGGGAAGGGATCCGATGCTGTCGCCATAGTCAGGAAGGATGACAATATATTCCGAGCCTGGAGCAGCAGAACTAGGGGCGGCAGAACTTGTAGTGGCGAAATCACTTAAAAACGACACTCTCCATCCGCCTTCTGTCGAACCTCCAACCAAATCCTGGTTCGGTGCCAAGCCCTGGTTCGGAGCCAGCCGTTCAGGTTCGGCAGACCTAGGGTCGTGAGGCTTTCCTTGGATCTGGCACGTGCCTGTGAGTATATCCCAGTTGCCCTCCACCATGTAACGCATGCCATGGTTACCAACCATGTTGTATTCATACTCATCGTTCTGCTGAGGGGCTGCGAAGTTGGATTTGAAAAACGCGTTCCCCCTGTGTCGGCTGCTGGTGGTGGTGGTGCTACCGCTGCTGCTGCCGCCACTGCCACTGCTGCTGGGGCCGCGGACGCGTTTTATTTCTTCCGGCTGCCCGTAGAAGGAGCCGCACTTGTCGGAGTTTTCCTGCCCGGAAGCGTCGAACCAGCCCGAGGAAATGTCCGGATCGGTGGTGGCCTCGGTGATCTCGTGGGCGATGGTGCTCACCATGCTGTCTATGGCTGGTAGCCCGTTGGGGGAAGAGCTTCCAGGGGGGATCAAGGGTAGGGGATAGGGGATGGGGAGGGAGGAGATTGGGTAGAGGTTTCAGTGGTAGTGGTGGGGAGAGCCCAGTCCACTCGGTGGTGGCCTCGGTGATCTCGTGGGAAGGGGATGGGGGGGTGGAGGGAAGGGCATGGGTAGAGGTTTCAGTGGTAGTGGTGGGAAGAGCCCAGTCCACTCGGTGGTGGCCTCGGTGATCTCGTGCGCGATGGTGCTCACCATGCTGTCTATGGCTGGCAGGCCGTTGGGGGAGGAGCTGCCAGGGTGGGCGGGGGATGGGAGTGGAACATGGGAGCGGGCAGAGGGTTTAGTCGGTCAGCAGCCTCGGTGATCTCGTGGGCGATGGTGCTCTGCTCACCATGCTGTCTATGGCTGGGAGCCCGTTGGGGGAGGAGCTGCAAGTGAGATGGGGTGGGATTTGGGGGACAGGGGGTGGCAGGGAAATGCGAGGGTTAAGGAGGCAGGAGTGGTCAGCAGCAGCCTCTGTGGTCTCGTGCGCGATGGTGCTCACCATGCTGTCATTGGCTGGCTGGCCGTTGGGGGAGGAGCTGCTATGAACGGACAGCCCTAGAGTGGTGGCCCAAATGCGTGCGCAAGGAAGCCTTCCTGCTGGTACTTACTTGCTGTACTGGCAGCACAGCGAGTGGTGGCCCACAAATGCGTACGCAAGGAAGCCTTCCTGCTGGTACTTACTTGCTGTACTGGCAGCACAGCGAGTGGTGGCCCACAAACACATACGCTATCGGGGTGCCGGTGTGCATGTCCATCATCTGTGTGTGCCACCCTCAGTAGCTGCAGCAGTAGCTTCTGCAGTATCTGTTGCTCGCTGCCAATACTTACTTGCTGTACTGGCAGCACAGCGAGTGGTGCCCCACGAATGCATATGCCACAGGGCTCCCGGTGCGCATGTCCATCATCTGTGCGTGCCACCCGCAGTAGCTGCAGCGGCTGAACTCCCACACGTCCACGTCAGCACTCGTGATCACGATGTAGATCCCGCTCGGATCGGACGGCAGCCGGTTGGCCTTGCCCACGTTGCGATCCACAACTGGAGGGTGGGGGGAGAGAAGAGGAAGGGATCGAAGGGTGTAAGTGAGGGGTCGGACAAAAATTCTCTTCGGGGAAAGGGCAAGAAGAGGGCATCGAGGAGGACGGGCTGAAGGGGTTGAGATGGAGGCACGTGGAGTGGAGGGAACGCCAGCACTTGTGATCACGATGTCGATCCCGCTTGGATCGGACGGCAATCTGTTGTCCTTGCCCACGTTGCTATTGACAACTGGACGGTGGGCGAGGTGGGGAAGGGGAAGGAGAGCGACCAGGGGAGGACTGAAGGCAAGGCACTCGGAGACCTGAGGGGACACGCGTGATCACGATGTGGATCCCGTTTGGATCGGACGGCAATCTGTTGGCCTTGTCCACGTTGCGATCGACAACTGCAAGGCAAGTTGCAAGGGCTCCCAAACCACTCACTCCATGCAATCTTGGTGTCGGAGAAAGAATGGCAGATGGAGCCTAGTTTTGAGGGGCCTAGTTTTGAGGGGCCTTGAAAAGAGATGCAAGGGCTCGCAAGGTGTCAAAAAACAAGAGATGCACGGACCAGGATAACTCACTCCTGGCAATCTCGGTGTCGGAGAAGGAATGGCCGATGGAGCCCCGGTCCACTACCGAGCCGCCAAACCGAACCTGCAAAGTAGTTCGGAGGGAGGAAACAAGATGGATGCCCGGAAGGACGAGTATGGATGGAGGGGAGGAAGGCAATGAAGTCGGGACGATCTAGGAAGGGATTGCGGGTGTCGAGGAGGACGCATGGTGCAGCTGGCATGTGGGAAGGGCACAAAGACATGCTCGGAGTTGAGGGAAAGTAAAGGGGGGAGGAGGGGAGAAAAGGGGGGAAGGGAGGTGGGGAAGAGGGTAGGTTTGATGTACACTTCACACTTCGAGAAGTCACCCACCTTAGGAGTGACGTATGCCTGCTTGCGGTCAGCCCCTGTCATAAAGTAATGCGTGGTGATCGCCCACCAGTCGCTCACGCTGCTCTCACTCCTCGGCCCCCCCTGCCTGCTCGCGTTCCCTCCCAGTGACTGCACGAAATTCTCGATAATGGCAGCTCCGTCTCAGGCCACGTGCCGTAGTAGATGAGGTAGACGACCGGATCCATGATAACAGCCCCTCCGTTATAGTACAGCTCGGGGCTTGTTTTGGATTTCCCAGCCTCGGTCACTCCAGCTTCGGTCACTCCAGCTTCGGTCATGCCAGCTTCGGTCATGCCAGCCTCGCCATCCTCCTCCTCAGCCTGCCTGTCACGACCGCGCAGTTGACGGCGGCGGGTGCCGTCACTCGGGCTAATCTGATCACTCGATTGGAGACCGCCGCTGGGATTCCGCCTCCTAACAGGCACGTAACCCCTGCGCAGGCCTCCCAACAGCGTCATCGGTGGCGGAAGCGGTGCAGGCGGAGTAGGTCGAGGCAAAGTTGACTTGGAAGATGGCGGCTCGTCTTTGCTGGCTGAAGCGGGGCGTTTCTTGACGATATCTTGAGGTTTTTCTGCTTGCGGGTTGTCTGTGATCCTGATTCGAGCGCCAACCATGCGGCGCGGAAGACGAGATCCGATTTTATTTGATTTAGGAGGTGTTCGTGCAGCGGTGGCAGTTACTAAAGCTGTCGGGATGGGTGACGAACCGAGAGGGAGATCAGGTGTTCCGCTGCTGCTGGCTCCGTAAGGGAAACGTCTAGAGAAGGCCTTTGAAAACCTCTCAACGTAGCTGGTACTAGGTATCGAATTCGAACGACCAACGGTGCTGGTAATAGTAGTATCGCCAGTGGTAATCGCGGAAAGGAGTGCGGTGGAGAGCAGAAGAGCTCTAGTAATGATAATCGCTCCAGGTGACGCCATGATGAAGAAGCCTAGAGGCGTTCGATATTACATCTATTGCGAAACAATGATAGTAAAAATCTACCCCTCTTGTTTTCTCCGTCGAATCTATTACAACGCTACGGATGGACTGGCGATAGTCTGTTTCTGGCAGAACAGCTTCAAGACCAAGAAATGCGCTGCGGCGAAGCAATGACGAAAGCAGAGCTCCGGTGTTCGTTTCTGCAAGGCAGGAAAGAATCTATGGAAAAGCTATTTCGAGTTGAGACCAGGCTTGAGAAAGAACATCAGGGATGATGAGAGCAAGAGGAGCGCGATATGGAATCCACGTCGGCGAAGACGAGACGAGTTTCGTCAATCGGAACCAGAAAGAACTCGAAGCCGTGGGAGTGGAAACCTAGCATCTGTTTCCAACTTCTTTCCTGAGAAAATGTGGAGCAAGAGGGTGAGTGACAAGTGTGAGACGGGCGTTGGCGCAAGCAGAGAGGTTTGGCGGAATTTGAAATGAAACAAGAGACGCGGCACGACTTCAGCGGAGTTCTTTGCTTTCGTTCTGCCCGTGGCCCATGACGAACCACGGTTGGGCATTGCTGCTTGGCCTTGTGCCGTGGCTGCTGCCGTGGTTTATTCAACGGGGCAACGTCACGGCTCGGTTTGTACAGCGCGGAGTTGCTCCAGAACTTGCGGGTCTTCTGTGATTGTGAACTGTCACGGTTCGGTGCTCTTGTGTACGGTTACGATGGTATTAGGCAAAAACGAAAGCACCCGCCTTGCTGACGAGACAGTCAACAGAGAACTAGCCAATCATAGCGTCATCCCTGCCCCGGGTAGCGTGAATAGAATTTCGATGAACGGCTTGACTTCCAGCGTGGCAGAGGGGCTCATTTCTGTTGCCAGCTTACAGAAACTAGTGAAATTAGTGAAACGATTTTCCAATTCTAGTAGCGATAGCGGAGCTGCGTATATGCATGAAATGCTCTTGCACAAGAGCTGAGTTTCGAAACAGACTTTACACATGGGCAAATCATGCAATTTCGTGGTGAGTGTTACCGATTATGCTGGAAACGCGTACAGTGAGCCTAGATTCCACCTTTTTTTCAGTCTCAGATATGCATGGAGCGGAAACGCTCAAGACCCGCACGAGCGTTGGAGACAGAGGAATGACGCCATGACGATCGGCTTGGTCGTGGTAGACTGGGATTCGGAGAAAGCGATGCTCGCGAAACCCAGTTGAAATATCTCGATGTGAACGTTTGGTCATTCCAAGCTGCTTGTGTTTTCCGTTTGGTTTTCGCTCCGTCTCTTCGTCCCGTTTCTTCGTCCTGCGACCATGGAATCTTCCGATGTGGACCGGGTGGCCGCCGAAAAATCCCGCGAAACCATCTTCACATGCACGCTGTGCAAACTCGAAGCGCGTTACGACTATATGGGCCGTCGGCCGCCATTCGCGCCGCAGATCGCGTAGGTGCTTCCCACTGCGTCCTCGTCATCTCCGTTCTTGGTGATACTCATTGCTCTTAACCCCACCAGGTTCCTCGAGGACGGATACATTTGCCAGGATCCATTCTAGTGCGGCTCTCGATGTTTGTGCCGGTATTGTATCCTGACTCTGGGTTTGAGATGTCCCTCCCTGTCTGGTTCCTGTCCTGAAGTGACTTTTGAGTCGACTCCAAAGTCACCTTGGTTTGAGATGTGTCCCTCCCTGCCTGGTTCCTGTCCTGAATATTACCATAACCTCCGTTTCCGGCTGTTACCACCCCACCAGGTTTCTCGAGGACGGCTACATCTGCTGGGATCCATTCGAGTCTGGCTACATTTGTCTGTTTCCTGTCCTGAATCCTGACCTCCGTTCCTGGCTTGATAATCCCTGTGTGGGAGATGCCCGTTCCTCGTGACGTCAGGTTCCTCGAGTGCGGCTGGGTGTTTGCTGTGGTCTTACATCCTGACTCTGCCTCTGGCGCAATGTCCATCCTGGTGATATTCGTTCATGATAACCCCATCAGGTTCCTCGAGGATGGCTACATCTGCCGGGATCCTGTCCTGAATTCTGACCTCCGGTTCTGGCTTGGTAAATTCCGTCCCTGGTAATATTCGTTCATGATAACCCCATCAGGTTTCTCGAGAACGGCTACATCTGCCGGGATCCTGTCCTGAATCCCAACCTCCGTTTCTGGCTTGGTGATTCCGTTCTTGGTGAAATGCATCGATGATAACCCCACCAGGTTCCTCGAGGATGGCTACATCTGTCGGGATCCATTCGAGTCCGGCTCGTCCCGTTCGAGCCGGCCGCTCTTCCTCGGATCTGCCTGCTCTCTCTGCCGCGCCCCCGTCTGCTGCTCGCCTGCCTGCAGCTTCTTCTTCTCGCACCGCTTCTGCCTGCCCTGTGCTCGCCGCAACGCTTCTGCCTTCTGCCCTGAGGCTCAGGCAGAGCTGCTCAAAGCGCTTGGCACGAAAGCTTGACGAATAAAGGAGCGGGTATTCAAAGAGGTAAGAGAAACTCTGCCTCCTCTGTCCCCTTTCTCCTCCTCTCTCTCCTCTCTTTCCTCTCCCTCCTCTCTCTCCTCTCCCTCCTCTCTCTCCTCTCTCCCCTCTGCCGCGCCTCCGTGTGCTGCTCGCCTACCTGCAGCTTCTTCTTCTCGCAGCGCTTCTGCCTGCCCTGTGCTCGCTGCAACGCTTCTGCCTGCCCTGCGCTCGCTGCAACGCTTCTGCCTTCTGTCCCGAGTCTCAGGCGGAGCTTCTCAGAGCTCTCGGGGCGAAAGCTTGACAAATTAACTATTGAGAACTCAAAGAGGAGTATTTGAAGAGGTAAGTGTACGTCTGTCCACGCTCTCTCCACCTCTCTCTCCGCGCTCTCCACTTTCTCTCCACCTTCTCTAAGCTTTTTCCGAGTCCCCCAAAACAAGCATTTTTCCCACTTCTTTTCCCTACTCCCCCACTCCCTGCCCGCCACTCCCCACTCCCCACACCTGATGCTCAAGTGCAGCTTCACAAGGCTCTGAATTATCGTCATGGAGCTCAAATGATTCTCAAGTTGGCGCTCGGATTCTGAAGGCTCCTAAAAAATAGACATAAAATAGACACAAAATAGACACAAAATAGACATAAAATAGACACAAAATAGACATGGCTCTGGTTGGTGTCTCGTCTCGTCACGGAGCCTGCCTGAACCACCGCTGCTGCTGCTCTTAAGGTTCTCAACTCCCAATACCTTCGCAAGGCAATCGATTCTCAAGGCAAAGCTTCACGGGGCTCTGGAGTCTCGTCACAGAGCCAGCCTGATCCTCCCATGCCGCTTCTTGCTGGCTGCTTCCGTCTGCGACTAAAAAGTGCCATAAAATTGCCGGCCCCAGCGCCCCCCCAGCCCTCTGCCTGCTGCACTCTGCGGCTCCATCTGGTTCTCCATGTCCTCCCCGTCTGCTCCAAGCGGGTATTTTAGAATTCTCAATGTTGCTGACCCCACCCTGCAGCCCTCTGCCTGCTGCACTCTGCGGCTCCATCTAATTCTCCATGTCCCTCTCGTCTGCTCCAAGCGGGTTTTTGAGAACTCTCAATGTTGCTGACCCCACCCCGCAACCCTCTGACTGCTGCACCCTACGGCGGCTCCATCTGTTCCTCCATGTCCTCCCTGTCTGCTCCCAGCCTCTACCGTTGTGCAGCACATAAGCAGACCTTCGGCAAAGCTCCCAGCCTCTACCTCTACCGTTGTGCAGCGCAGCAGGCCCCAGCCCCCACCCCCCAGCCCCCACCCCCCATCCCTTTGACTGCTGCACCCTACGGTGGCTCCATCTGTTCCTCCATGTCCTCCCTGTCTGCTCCCAGCCTCTACCATTGTGCAGCACATAAGCAGACCTTCGGCAAAGCTAGCAGCCTCCCAGTCCAGCTAGCTAGCAGCCCAGTCCCCACACAAGAATTCTGCAGTGTACTGGCAATGCAATGCACACTCCTCCTGTGACCTGTCTCTTTCCTGACTCAGCCCCCCCACTCCAGCTGTCTCCACTCCAGCTGTCTCTTCTTCTCTTCCCCAACCAGGCTGCATGCAGTGAACACTGGCCTGCTCTCAATCCAGACCATCACCCATGGTGGATTTATTCACTGTATTTTGTGCTTCAAGTGGGGTCCTTTGTGTGGCACTACTAGCATACTTGTTAATGCTGTGCACTTGAAAAATAAATAAAAAGATCAGGCAAAAATCAAGCAAGGCAAGTGCTGTTTGCAGCACTCACCACAGTACAGATTGTTAAACGTGAAGAGGGAGAAGGAAAGAGAGACAAGACGACACTGCAGGCAAATGGGGTGAAGCACCTGCCTGCCGTCTACCCTCTACACCTATTGCATCATTCTCTCCTCTACATTGCCGCATCACTCTCCCCCCGCACATGCAGTGGAGTTTTGAGACGTCTCAAAACTCTTCATCAATCACGGAGTTCCGCACCTGCCACGGGTGTGTAAAACAAACACCTCGCCACAATCCGGCCGCTGCTCCTTCCCACTCCCCCCAATCTCCCCAATCTCCCCAATCTCGCCACAATCCGGCCACAATCCGCGCTCCTCTCCCTTCTCATCTGCAGTGCTGCACCAGCCACGGGTCGTTAAACACCTCGCCACAATTCGGCCGCAGCTTCGGATCCCACGACAGCAGCACACCCACCAGCGCCTTCGCCTCACCACTCACCTCCTTCCAGCTCCCCCCTTTAAACAACAACCTCTGATCCGAAACCGCTTCCCAAGCCACCATCCCCTGCGCATCCCTCGGCGGGAACCTGGCACTTAGCAAAGCGTACAGAACGACTCCTAGAGACCACATGTCCGCCTGGGTGGTATACCACCGGCCCTGCGCCACCTCAGGTGCCTTGTACAGCTGGCTGCCCTTGTTGCCGTTCGCCATGGCCTGCGTCGGCTGCAGCAGCTTCGCCAGCCCGAAATCGGCGAGTTTAACGACGTACCCCGAGCAGGTAGACGGCTCGCCTTGCTGCTGCTGCTGCTGCTGCTGCTGCTGCTGGTTTCCATTCTCCTGTGCTCCTCCGTCTGCGCCAGCAGGCTTGCATTTGCAGCAACAGCAGTTGTTAAGCAACACGTTTTCCAGCTTGATATCTCTATGAATCACATGCCTCGAGTGGCAGTGCTCCACTGCCTTTACCAGCTGCCGGAACATCAGAGCAGTCTGCCGTTCCGACAGCCCCGTTTGCAGCATTTTTTCGGGCTGTGCAGCGCTGCTGCTGCTGCTGCTGCTGCTGCTGCTGTCCCCGTTAGTAGCAGCCCCGGATTCTGCGGCTTTTGGGTCGATAGTCCCCTTAGCCAGCCCTTTGAAAAACTGCGAGATTTTTGTGAAAGGTTTCCCATGCGGCTGCTCAGGCTTGGTTTCTCTGCCTGCTGCTCCTTTGTTAGAATCACCTTCTTTATTCGCACCTCCGGCCGCTCCGTTATCCTCGTTTTTAACTTCCGCCTGCGGCTTCTTGGGAGGATTCGTTAGAAGCCCCAGCAGGTCCCCCGCGTCGCACAGCTCCATAACGAGTCGCAGCCGTTTCTCGTTGTTGTACACTCCGACAACTTTCACAATGTTCGGATGATAACCCACGTGTTCGAGAACCTTGATTTCGTGCTTCAGCGCGCTAACGCGCACCTCTATATCGCGAGCAGACAACCGCTTCTGAGTCGCCGCGCCGCCTTCCACGTTGAGAATCTTATCCACCGTCTTACACGCGTACATCTTTCCCGCGGCTGGCGGTTCCGGCGCGGTCTTCGCCGGGAGTGGTGGTTGTTTCCCTTCCGCGTCTCCCGCCACGTCTTCCGCCGCGATTCGCGCCGCAAGAAGCGCCGCCTCGGTCGCTTCAACCCGCTCCACGCTCGCCACAATCTCCGGTCGCTCGACCCCGTTCTCCTCGTCGCTGTCGCCGCCTCCTCCGCCATCTGCGGCGCCCTTCGCGGCGCCGTTTCCGGCAGCCGCGGCAGTTCCGTCAACTGCGGCGACGGCGGCGGCGGCGCCCGGATGAAGATGCAGCCTGCTTGCGCCGTAGCTAGGTTGCCGTGACAGCTGACGTGTCAACACGGCTTTCTCGTGGCAAACGTTAACGACGCCGTAGGAGCCTTCACCGAGCTGCGCTCCGACCTCGAAGCGCGGAGTAAAACCTATGACTTGCGGGCTGGCCGCGACTTGCGGATGGAAGGAGTTGTGAAGCTTCTGTCGACTATGGGCGGCATTGGGGAGAGTGATCGGCAAACCCTCACTCTCAGCCGTTGCGTTCGCCATTTCACTATAATATTTGTATAATGAAAGAAAAACGAATCTAGATGTCGCTCAATTAGGTTAAATCGAGAGACCAGGAAGATCGTGCGCGTGAAAGATTGTAAGAATATTTTAGGGTTCCACGTAGCCTGCGATCAGGAGAGCGGGGCTATGAGCAAGAGAAAGCAAAAGCCTCGTGGAATCGACTTGAGGACTGGCTGATGAGATGCTACCAGTACGGACGGAGACGCAATTATAAGGAGAGAGTATGGGACACCCGCGAGGACATGTGATGTGTTAGGGTAGGAGTGAGGAAAAGGGGAGGGAGGAGCTGCAGCGACGAGTATGGCACACTGGAAAGTGGAGCACAATCGAGGCTGCGTTCTGCGGGCGCATCAGCTCTGATGCGCCCTAGGCTCGGCCTGATCCGCACATTGACAAATTGAGGTTCGGGAATGAGGAATTTGAAATTGAAAAATAGAGGTTCGGAAAATAGAAATAGAGGTTTGGGAAATCCGGAAATTGAGATTTGAAAATTGCGACATTTCAGATCTCGATTTCAATTTTCCTCAAATTCGGCATTGCAGAGGGATTCGTCGAAGTCAGCAGCACGTACCTGACGCATTCGCCACATGCATGTACATACTGCCCGACGCTGCCCACACACGAGCCGGGTAGCTGCCTAAAAATCTGAAGGGGAAACTCGAACACCCCTTGAGATCGAAACCCCTCTGCATCAATTTGGAAACCGTTCTTTGGGTTTGTTTTGTTTCTTTTGTTGGGCAGCAGTGGGCCATCAATGACTCGGCCGTTTTGTTTTAGGGCGTTGTTCAGTTGCCCCATTCGAGCTGATGCGCGCATCATGCGTCTTCTCGGTGTTGCATCATGCGCGCATCAAGGGCTCGTCAGATTGCTAGGACAATAAATTTCTCGGAAAGCGGCAGCATGTAAATTTGTGGTTGCCAAAAAGACCGTTCTGCAGGCATCGGGCTTGGTCTGCCTCGGCAGCAAAGCGCTTATCGCGAGCCTTGATAACCTTTCAGCTGGTTATCAGGGAAGGCTCCTCGAAAATCGGAAACAAATTGCAATGGTACATTGATGCGGGCTAATGCGCCCGCAGAACGCAGCCCGAACGAACTGCCCTGCCCAGTTCACACTGCGGTCCCGTCTAGCGCACTCCCTTGACAGGCCCTTCTAGGAAGCAGAGCACGCGCGAAGTCCACTCCCCTGACGCTGGCGGGCAGGCGGTGACGGAACGGAATTCGTCAAAACACTCGTCGATGATTTGAAAGGTACGATCCGAGGGTGGCACGAACGGGCCTGCGTTCAACGAGTCTGTCTCTTGACCATATTTTAGCAGTTCCAACCGTACTGAACCGCCGACCGCCTTCTTACAGCTTCAACTACACCCTGTTTCGCGCCACACTGACATTCGCCATATTGACAAGCTAGTTGTACTGACATCAATGCGTCCAAATTGGTCCCAGAACATACCGTATAAGCACTTTTGCCGCACGAAACCGAACTCAAAAGCACTTTTTTTTCATAAACCGTTGTCTACCGTTCTCCTGAAGTGCATTTCGGTTGCAAGCACCAGCCCGCTGAATCCAAGCACACGTGCGCACTGTAGCCGGGGCTCCCGATTGTTCAAACATCGAGAAACAGCGTGTACACCAGCTGAAGGTTTCCTATGGTACTGTAGAAGTTCATCAACAGTCCACGACAAGTTTCATTGACTTCCTCCACCCAATGAAGCCCGCTCAGTTTCCTCACGCGTGTTCCTTCCCTCGAACCATTTTCCTTTTCTCTCTTCCCTCTTCCCCCAACTTTCTCCCGTCATGTTCCCCTGTCACTATTTTCCTCGATAACCTCGAGGCTGCTCTTTCCACTGTCGCAGGGTTTACTGTACACGGGCAGCTGAGAGTGAGGAAATTACCGCCACTTCAACATATAATAGCCACGTGGCAGACGACCACTCAAGGCCAGGTTGGTTAATTCGTCCACATGTACATGCCACGGGAAACAAGACATGGTTGACCGACGCACATTACAAGCATGGGGGAAATACTGGTAGCACGGTTGTTCACTGTACAGCAGAAGATAGAATTATGGCTAAATAGCACTAACCAAACCACAGCAGCAGATATTAGTTTAGCGAAGGCATAGTACAATAATAGGACAGACCCCACTGTACAGAACTAGGAGATAGATTGTGACATCAGAAAGTTGTAATCCGATGTCACGAAACTATTTTGAGAATCGAAAACACAACAAGTGCGACAAATACCAACCCTGCAGCTACTAGCATGACGAGCAGCATGTTGCATGTGTTGTCCGATCGGCGCATGAATATTGACATCTTCTTCTTGGCCAGCTGTAGAGTGTCAATCAGGGAGAGAGAATAGCATTGAAACACAACATATATGTCCCAGTTTTTAACTGAATTGTGGAAGTGAAAATAGGAAAGCTGAGAATGCGTCAAACGACAAGAAAAGGAGGGAAGAAGAGGAAGAAGAGAAAGATGGGAAGAGGGACCGGGAGGGGAGAGGGTGTGATAAAAGCAAAACGAGCAGCCCACCTGTACACGAGCATTTGTTGACTGAATGTTGTCATCAAAATCATCCTGCACATGCACCAGCAGCAAAGCCATTTCAAACACAAACACAAACACGTGGAAAGGGCTTCAGTCGTTGAAAGTGCAGCCACAGCTTCAGCCAATAGAATCGCAACAAGTCAGCATAGCTGATTCTGTTGCAGCAAAGGCTCGCTTAATTGCACACAAAGGTATCAAGGAGATGCGTCAGTCATACAGTACGAATGGTAGCTATCAAAACCTGTGCACAGCACAGCAACGAGACGATAATGCCAAGAGAAAGCACATACCAGCAGATGTCGATGCAGGTCCAGCTCGCCGTTAATGGTGAGCGCAATGTGCTTGGTGGTTGCCACCGTGGACTCTAGCTCCTCCAGCTCCGAGTCTTGCTCTGCTCCGATCAGCAGGTCAAAAACAGACAAAAAAAACTAAGAGCATATTCAAATAGAACAAAAAAAAAGGAGGCCACTCCTGTGTCGACAACCAACAAAAAAGGAGAGTTCACGTGAATGGATGCGATCAGGAACCAAGCCACACAAGAGGCATGGAGGGGAAGAACCGCTCATCTCCTCAGCAGAATATACACAAGAAAGACAAGTACAACGGTACGACGGCATGTCCTCAACAGCATGCCTTGCATGATTTCTTGACGCAGGGCCACGAGGCCCTTGTTTGAGTGGACCAGAAAAGCAGAGGGCATGTATGTCCACAGCACAGTGACAGACCTTGCATGATCTCCTGCTGCAGGGCCATGAGCTTCTTGTTTAAGTCAACTCAAAAAGAAGAGCGCATCCTTTCAGCAGCATCCTTTCAGCAGCATATACCTTGCATGATCTCTTGCTGCAAAGCCACGAGCCCCTTGTTGTCTCGCGAGGCTGTTCTCTCTGTCTCCACCGCCACCAGCGACCGCCCGTCACGGCCCAGCAGGGCTGACCTGCAGCGGGAAGGAAACGAGGGGAAGAGGAGGAGAATATTTCCTCTTCATTACAGCGCGCCTCGCCCGTCAGGCCCGAGGGAGGGGAAAAAATATATGCAAGGCAGCATGTGAAAGAAGCATGTCGCAACGCAGATGAGTACTTCAACTCCTCTTCTCACGCCAACTTTTGAGACTCTCAGCATGTCGCAACACGAACGAGTACTTGAACTCCATTTCTCGCGCCAACGAAACTCGCCCGTCATGGCAGGGCGAAAGCCTCAGAAAGAAGGACGCGAGGGGGAGGCAGAGCACCCAGTTACAGTCAACAGAAAACGCAAGCAATGCAACGAGAAAGAAGCAGAAAACAGCAGGCAGTGAAGCGAGGGGTCAGAATGGTGAGAGGGGGAAAGGGGGAGGGGGAATGGAAGGGTGGCAGGGGAGGGGGAAAGGAGGGATGGGAGGAGAAGGGGGGCGATACGTATCGTTACGTAAACCAAGGCGACGACGAACCTGTTAGCCGCTGATTGCGCGGAGGTGAGCACGGCTGCCATCTCCTTCGCCTTGAAGCGGAGAGCGAGAAGCAGGTCTTCCCGCCGCCGAATCTCCGTAGAATTGCTGGAAGAGCGAAGGAAAGAGGGAGAGAGCGGCTAAGATACGCGAAATTCAAAACGCAGGACGTGTGTCTCTGCGGAAAAAGTTAACGAGGAGAGAAAGGTAACAAACGACTACAACAGGTTTCGTTAAGAGATAGCTATAAGCATACGCTTCATAGCAAGAACCTGTCATCCTAATCCCTCCTCCAAGAAGCTTACAGTTGCGACTTCTCCGCTGCAGCTCGAAGCCCCGTTTCTAGACGGTCCGATTTCGCCATAAGCATCGCAATCTTTCGGCGAGCTGCAGCGACGAGGCGCGATGGATCCCCTTTAGATTTGATCGCGTCGTTTCTTTCCTGAATAAGGCCTGCCACGTCATCCGCCATCCTGGAGGCATCCTCGAACTCTCTGACCCACGGGTCCTGGAAGTGAGCCATACTAGTGCTGCTACTGCTGCTGCTAACCCTAATGGAGCGAAAGGGGAAGAAGTCTTAAACAACGAATCTCGACAACCTCTGAATCCTATCACGTCTGTATGGAAAGTCGCAGGTGCAAACGTCCTTGCAGTGTAACCAAGTTTGCCACGCGACAGTGGACAGTAGAAGTGGTGCCAAGGGTAAAACGGGTAAGGTCAGCAAGGCTACTTCCTACAAACCGAAACTCTAACAGCCTGTTTCTTTGCTACCGCTAAATAATGCCTTCCAAAACAGCATCTACGATACCAGCAAGAGGAACACCAGAACCAGTCGTAAAAGCGGGAGAAACTAGTTTATTCTGTAAGACCTATGGCTGAGAAGCGAGCATACTCTACTGAACTGGTACAATACGGAGAAGCGATGAGGTAGAAAAAGCTTCTCGTCTCGTCTCCTCTCTCTCTCTTGGGTAAGTAGCTTTCGCGGGGTAACTACTAGGGACCCCGCGCTTTCTAGGGGGCTACAGTGCCAGCAGGGGGCACTTTCCGCCCCTCCGTGCCTCAGAGAGTGGAATTATAGAAACAACACAGAACTCTTCCCCACATTCACCCACGTATCACAAATGTGGAAAGTTACAAAACGCACGGCAAAAAAAAAAAATACCCATAGGGAACCTGGACTCAATTTCGGGAGGGATCAACCTTAAACACGGGAACCCACATTTTTTTTAGGGTTGATGCCTCCCCGAGACGCATCCCTTCCCGATCGGGTTTTAGTTTTTTTCGGTCAGGTAAAGGGATATTCTTTTCAGTGGCTTGCGAAATTTGTGACACGTGGGTGAATGTGGGACCGAGTTCTGTGTTGTTGCCATAATGTTCCTATCGGAGTGGCGGAGTGGCGGAAAGTGCCCGCATATAGCACTGTAGTCCCCTTGAAAGCGCAGGGTCGCTGGTAGTACCCCTGCGAAAGCTACTTACCCCTCTCTCTTCTCTTCTCTACCCTATCCTACCAACCAAGCCACACATTCACATGACAGGAACCTCCTTCCACTTCGGGATTGGCTGGACGCTTGCCTGCTTCCATCGCTGCAAGTTCCGGCCCGGGTTTGGAGAAAAGAGCCGTGTGAGTGGAAGACGCGAATCACCACACTGTAACGTACTGGACCGTCTAGAAATGTATATTTGTTGTCACTTCTGAACCTCAACTTCTGACAAAAGATGAATCCTTGGGGCTGGGCCGCATTGCGTGCTCCTCTTGTGCGATGGGATTCGTTGACAGTTCGCTGATGACAGATACTGGGACAGTAGTCGCACATGACGGCTGCGAAGCTCGTATGGCCGTCCGCGACAAAAGGAATATGCTGTCAGTCGACCATCTTCCACTGTTACGGGTGCAATGGATCGAAGTAGCGAGAATTGCACTAAGGTGTCAAGCGAGTACAAAATGTGAGCGAAGGCATGAGCGAACATTTATACGCGAAACATGCAAACGGTAACGCGGTGCGTGCGAGCTAGCTAGTGCTACGCTGGAGCGAGGCTCGGGCTAGTTCCGAAACGTAGGCCGACACGGCCAGGCCAGCAGTGCGAGGTTTGGTGAAACAGTGCGCGCGAAGTCGGCGAAGCCCCGTTAGCAGTAACGGGCGAACAACGGCTGCTGCTGTACGCGATGTTGCAGGGTGCTCTAAGGAATATCGAGAAAAATTCCTTACACTACCCCCCCCCTCAAGAAGCCCCCTCCGCTACGCGAGTGCGTGAATATCGCGGAAGCCCCGGCTCCTCAGGTACACTTGCAGGGCAGGGTGGTTTTCGATGTTGGCCAGGGGCACCCAGCTGTCCTCAGTTGGCGTGCGATCCTTCCAGCGAACGAGGAATTCAATCCTCTTGATTCCCGTGGGGTGTCGAATCCGATGGCTCAGGATTTTTTCGGGCGCGATGATCGGCTCTGATGCAGGGCGAGTCATGGATGGCGGGCGGTGGCGAGGCAATTGGCTTGTGGTTGGGATGTAGGGGCGAAGCAGGCTGACGTGGAACGAAGGGCTGATGTACCAGTCGGTCGGTAACAGTAGGTGCGCGGTTACTGGCGTGATCATGTGGCTGATTTGGAATGGGCCACAGTAGCGCGGTCGGAGTTTTGGTACGTCAAGCAGTCGCAGATTTTGAGTGTCGAGTAGTACGTAATCCCCTGACCAGGGCTAACTTTAGTAAAATGACCCGTCTGATGTCAAGACCGGGTCCTGGCTCCTTGTCTGATTGTCAGACGAAAACTGTAACCTTGTCTAGCTTTCCAGACGAATCCTAAATACTTGTCTGAGAAGATATAAAGCTAGCAAGCAATGTACTATCAAATATGAATAAAAACAACCAAGTTATAGTGATGAACAGCTCTGATGGTCCAGTCAGTAGAATATGGAGCAGTGAAAACTGAGATTTCCAGTTCGAATCATATAGTCTGCTTGTTTCGAGAGTTTTGCCTTCAGTCGAAAAATACTCGATATCTGCAATCTCAGACGAACTGTATAAGGCTGTCTGAGAAATCAGATGAATAGAAAAAGCTTCTCTAAAAAAATCAGACGAAATTAAACAGCATGTCTACGGCATCAGATGAACCAGTAAAAATGTGTTCAGAATCCAGAAATTCAGACCAAAAATTTCTGATGAAGTGAGCCCTGCCCCTGACTGGTATGTGACTGGGCGGCGGTGGCGGTCAGCGTTGCGCTTAGCGATGACGTTTGCTTTTTTAATGGCTTCTGCGGCTCTGGTGCGGGCAGCTTGCAGAATTTCGGCGAATTGCTGTGCACGTGGTGTTGGGTTGTCCGGACTCGGCGTCATGGGCGCTGTAGGGTTTTGCCCGTAGTTCAGGTAGAAGGGGGTCTGCTGCGTCGTCGCTGACGTGGCATTATTGTACGCGAACTCGATCAGCGGCAGCTGCTGCTCCCAGGTCGTGAGGTCGTCGCACGTGGCACGAATCAACTGCTCCATCGTCTGATTCGTCCGCTCCGTTTGACCATCGGTCTCGGGGTGGTACGACGAACTGAACCGTAGCCTGGTCCCGAACTGCTCCCAGAGGTTCTTCTAGAAGTTGCGGGTGAACTTCGTGTCCCTGTCGCTGATAATTGCTGCTGGTATCCCGTGCAGGCGAACAACGGCTGCGATGAACAGACGAGCGGTTTCCTCGGCTGAGATCGACTTTTTGCACGCAGCGAAGTGTGCCATCTTCGTCAACCTGTCAACGACGACCATCACCGCGTCGTTACCCCCAGGGTTCGAAGGTAACCCTGTGACGAAGTCCATGGTGACCTGCTGCCAGGCGCGCTCGGGCGGTGGTATCGGCTGCAATTGACCCGCCTTCCGCTTCCTCGAGCTCTTCATCACCTGACACGTGGGGCACGAGCCCACGTGCTGCTGCACGTCGGTCAACAGCTCCGGCCAGTAGTAATACCGCTGCAGTTGCTGTCGCGTTTTTTCTACCCCAAAATGTCCCGAGGTAATTCCGTCGTGTGCCTCCTGCAGTAGCAGCTCCCTCAGTAGTGAGTACGCGGGTACCCAGATGCGGTTGGTGCCTGTTTTTACGTAATAAACTCCTTTAGCTTCTGCCAGTTGCTGTGAGTTTCCAGTCGTGAAAAATGGGTCGGTGCGGTATCCGTGGGTGAATAGGCCTGTTAAAAGCGGGTTGGTCTGGGCGAGTAGGATGGCGTGGAGTTGGGCGGTAGGGCGGGTGAGTGCGTCGGCGATGTTGGATGCGCCTTTCTTGTACGTAACCGTGTAGTGGAAGTTGGACTCGAGGTAGTCCAACCAGCGAATCTGTCGTGGATTGAGATTCGGTTGGGCGCGTAAGTACTGTAGTGATCGGTGGTCTGTCCGTACTGTCACGTCGGCGCCACTCAGGTAACATCGCCAAACCTTGAACGCGTGCACGATCGCCAACATTTCGCGGTCGTGTATCGGGTAGTTGCGTTCGGGCGGGTGCAGCTTGCGGGACTCATACGCGATTGGCTGGAGGCCGTTCCCGAAATCCTGCAACAGTACTGCTCCCACAGCGATGTCACTTGCGTCAGTGACGAGCTCGAACGGACGGTGTGGGTCTGCGATGTGAAGCACGGGCGGTGAGCACAAAATGTTTTTGAGGGCCGAGAAGGCAGCTTGCTCTTTCTCCCCCCACATGTACTCAACCCCCTTCCTCAGCAGGTCTGTCAGCGGGGCAGTCAGCTTCACCATGTCGGGGACGAACCGGCGCACGTAGTTGACGAACCCCAAAAAACTCTGCAACTCGGTCAAGTTGGTCGGCGCGTGCCATGCTTGAATCGTCGCAATTTTCTTCGGGTCTATTTCCACTCCTGCAGCTGAAATAACGTGTCCCAAAAACTCCAGGCGGTCCTGTAAAAACTCACACTTAGACGCTTTTGTCAGTAGGCGGTTTTCACTCAGTATTTTAAAAACTGCTTCGACATCCTGTAAGTGCTGTGCTCTATCAGGGCTGTAAATCAGTATGTCGTCCAGGTATACTATGACGCACTTATCTAAGAGCGGGCGGAAAGCTTCGTTCATGGTCATTTGAAAAGTGGCGGGGGCGTTGGTCAGTCCGAAAGGCATGACGGTGTATTCGAAGGATCCGTAGCGTGTGCGAAATGCGGTCTTAGGGCAGTCGAGCGGGTTGACGCGAATCTGGTGGTAACCCCCTCGAAGGTCGATTTTCGAGAAAACCCGGGCTGTGCGCAGTTGGTCGATCAGTTCGTCGGCTCGCGGGATGGGGTAACGGGATTTGATGGTAACCCTGTTCAGTGCTCGGTAGTCTATGCACATGCGAAATCCCCCGTCTTTTTTCGGTGTGAACAGTATCGGTGCTGCGAAAGGCGACGAACTAGGGCG